ACACCCGCAAGGCACGGGCATGTATTCATCCAGCAGTGGATTGACAAAAGTGCTCAATATAGTCAAGTGACTGCCCTGCGATATAGTTAATTTTACAACCCGATCATTTATAATGAAATAAAACATCTACATTCACGAGTGCAGTAACTCAAAACCCCAATTTTAGTTTTTTTATGTCACGTTTAAAAAGGAAAACATTAAGTCTTTCTTATGGACATGGTAATAAAATCACTGTACATTATTCCTTTGGGGTTACATCACGTAAAATAAAAGGTTTGTCACGTAAACAGAACATGCCAATTCGTTACTATCACAAGCACACCGGTGTGTTGGAGAGCAAATCCACAACATTTACACTCTGAGTACGACGTTTCGCCAGTAATTGCAACCGGCATCATCAGGCGGCAGCCAGATTTGTGGAGAAATCTTCCTGTTTCGCTCCTTAAATTGAGGGATAGATGTGATGTCGTCACTGTCGCCTTATGATGCCGGTTGTAATTACTGGCGAAACGTCGTACACTCAGATTGAAAATGTTGTGGATTTACTCTCCCAACACACAACCGGTGTGATGTACTAGTAACGAATTGGCACGTTCTGTTTCCGTGACACAAGCCTTACTCATAGGCTGTGTCGGGTGGTGGCGGGTTTAACGACACACATTTAAATTTTGATGTAAAGCTTTCGTGACTGCAGGGATTCATATTCATGGTTCTTTCGGTAAAGTCACGTAGAAGGGAAATAATAAAATAATATAAATATAAAACAATAAAAAAAATCCCATCGTTCCCCTTGATGTCTTTTTTTATATTTATATTCTTTTATTATTTCCCTTCTACGTGACTTTACCGAAAGAACCAAGAATATGACACACATTTATATTTACGCGATTATCGCTCGCGAAAGCCTATTTCATGTTAAACGCTGCACCGTGTGCGCGAGTTGAGCGGCCCGTAACCATGGCAACACGCGGTAGGCCCCAAGCCTAACGCTAAACGTTGCAGCGACGCGGCGCTTTGCGGGAAATAAAACAACCGGCAGTGGCCAATGAAGCCGGCCTCGCCGAAGAGCCTGCGGGGAGGAAGGTGAGGGAGGCGAAGAGAGGGTGCCCGCCCCGTTGCTCTCACTGCGGGGAGACATCGAAGCGAATGTCGCGGTCTTCCCACAGCGCGTCCAAGGAGGCCGCCATCGCGGTCAACGCGACGCTCCCGTCTCGCCAACGCTTCCCCGACGAGGACCAATCGCAGCGCAAGGCTCGCGTCACGTGATGCACGCGGGGCCAATGGGGTGAGCGGAGTAAAGATGCGTGGTGGTGGGTGCCAGGTTGGGGGGGGCTGGGATTGGCTGTCCATAAATGACGTCACGCGATTTTGGCGATTTTGACCCCTCCCCCCTCGTCACATGACGTCACAAATGTCAGACCCCACCCCCCTCAAATGTGACGTCACAAAGCTCTGCCCCCCCCCCCCCAAAAAAAACATACTTCCATTTTGAAAATAAAGCATGCTTCAAATCGCTTTAAACTATTGTCATTGTAGTGCGTATTTAATGCGGCGCTGCACTCTGACGTTGTAGGAGTGTTGTTATAACAATGAGTGTTGTTATAACAAATCTTTATTTATTTAAAGTTGCGTATTTTGATGTGACGTCACATTTCTCACCCCCCCCCCTCGTCACACATCGTCACAAATGTCTGACCCCCCCCCCCTCTAGGTGCGTGACGTCATTTATGGACGGTTCCTTACTGAATTGTACCTCCAAAAGGCAAAATAGTCCACACCGTGTCAACCCACACGGTTTACTGCAGTCTTGTACGGGGGAATTGAATTAAACAATAACTGTCTATTTGTTTGTGTTTCTCCCTTGTGATGGGACTTTGTAGGAGGATGAACGTTGAGATTTATAAAGGGCACGGGGTGGCCAAAAATGGTCTGAATTGATCTGTAATAAGGTAGGCACTGATAAGGGGTTGACAGCTATGAGTAGACACACAAATATATGAGTTAATAAAAAAAACTATATTTTGGTTGCGTCTCTGTTTCTCCCTTGTGATGGGACTTTGTAAGATGAACTTAGAGATTTAAAAATTAACCGGTAAAAACAAAGTTTTTCACTATAAATCCTTTATATGCGTGGCGGCTAGAGTCCTCTCGTCCTCTGGCTTGAGATGGCTGCCACCTATGGGTCAGATGATTGCCTGCCACCATTAAGCAATTGGTAATAACATATAAAAAATTTTCCCTAAAAAGTGTAAAATTTTGGAAAAAAAATTTCACGAAAATAAATTGTCACGCACAACGAGTCTGTGTGCAAAATGTCAGCTCGATTGGATCACGGGAAGTGGGTAAAAAAACGACCGAAAGATTTGCACGGTCGTAAGCGCGCAAGCAAGCAAGTGAACTTAATATATCGGATTTAATAAAGGGTACGGGGTGACCAAAAGGTCTGAATTGGTCTGTAATAAGAGGAACTGATAAGGGGTTGACAGGTATTGCTTTATATGCAGCCCATGTTCAAGTTGGATGAGAGCCTCCACTCGGTGTGCGAGTCATAAAAGGGGTGGTTAGTTGACCATACAGTACTTCACGCCGCTGGTCAGTGTGGGTTTAGTTAACAAGGGGAGCATAGACGTTGGCCCAAAGTGCAGTACAATTGATGTCGCTGCATTGCCCTTTACTGACAATGTTGCCCCTTGGCACTAACCAGGCTCAATTCCGCTGAGCTTCCGATATCTGCCACTGATGCCGACTATCCACAAATATTATACACTATTATGCATTGGATTATGTATGTTAATAGAAATTCAAACAATCATGTTCGCCAATATCTTCGTATTTTATTCCAATATTGTCCAGTTTATGCATTTGCATCCAACAAAAATAGATGTCAAAACTGCATCTCAATGCGCTTGGAGGCCATTGCTCAAAATTAGTTTTTAAAAAAATACTTAAATTCAGGCGCGCATATCACACATGTATTTCATAATTTAAGTTAAAAGGCACTTCATGCACAAGACGAATTAATGTTTCTGAAGCACAGCATTTCTTCAATCATTGTCAAAAACTTCAAACGTTTAAAATTACTTCCGCACGCACTTTCAACACAATTCCAGTTTTCAAATGAGAAAATATGGCACTAGGTTAACACCTAAATGTTTCATTTAGTAAATTCTGTAAAAGTATATTTTCGTTTATACAACACATACAGCATCAAATATTCAAATCGGCACGGATGTTGGAAGTATTGCCCATTTGTTACAAACATTATACTCATTTATCCAGAACAGCCACACTTGAGTCCAATGACTTTGTTTATCAGGAGGGTCCTGCCTTAGGTGTTTTTTTTATTTTCAGCCAATTAATTAATTAATTCTTGACTTAAAGCTTTCGTGACTGCAGGAATTCATACGCTTTGGGTCTATCGGTAAAGTCACGTAGATAAAAAAAAGTTATTAAAAAAATCACGTTTCGATCGCAACACAAGCAATCGTCTTCAGGTGAAAAAATACAGCAGGCGGACTGCTGAGGCAGGAAGAAATATAGCGAGAAAAGATGATTGCTTGTGTTGCGATCAAAACGTCGTGATTTTGTATTATTTTATTATTTTTCTATCTACGTGACTTTACCGAAAGACCCAAAGAGTATAATTTATTAATTATTTATACATGTGGGAGGAAACCGGAGCACCCGGAGAAAACTCGCACATGCTATCCCCACCGAGATGGAGATTAGTCCACTTGCTGTACTGCCTTTTTCTGGTGAGCCAAGGTATGGCACCTCGACCCCCACAGGGAGTTTTATAACATGTATGGTCCACCTACCCTAGCATTCACAGTGATGGATTACAAGCAGGCGCCGCCATAACCCTGCTAATTGACATGAGACTAGAACGCCTATTTTAAATGTATTGTGGATTATTAGACAACTTGTTATCTCAGTGGTGGGCACACATACAAGTGGGCTAATTTTCTTGCACTCAACTCAAAAGTTGTTATCCACCTGGCCATTTCAAAAGTTGCTATTAAAGGTTCTCAAGAGGAATGTGTTCTGCTTTCCTGGCATAAATTGCAAGTTTTAAAAGAGTTAACCATGCTTAAAACTGTACCTGTGTGAACTTTACACACACAGTTGCAATATGAAAGGGATTTTGAAAACGGATTTCGTTACATTTAAATATTAGGTACCACTGGGCTATCAATATAAAACACATTTACGATACTGGGAGCGTGTTAAGTTTATGTTTCAGAGTAATAATAATCACCACTATAACTTACAAGCCTGTATTCATCTACACACCATGTTCCCTTTAGGGGTGCATTGACCATACTTCACCACGTTGAGCAGTGCAGGTTGATGATGAGTTCAAAAATAATTTCCCATTCACGTTAGCCAAGGACAAAATCTAATTTAGGTAGAGGTACGCATTCAGGGTTCATCGTGCAGTGCGCTGTGTGTGCATAACCAGAGGTGGTGCAGTCACACCCTCTCGTGGGAAATGTGATAAGTGCATGCTGTTTCATATCCACTCAGTGATAGTCTGACAGCACAAGACATAAGCAAAGTGTTTCATATCAAATTAAGCAAAAGCTTAATGAAAACAGATGCACCAAATACTGCATCAGCTCAAACTCAGATTATAATAAACATAACGTTTGTAATTCTAAATACACTACCAAAATTGTAATTACACTATTAACATAATTCGATCACACTATTTTGATATAGGTAGCTTGTCCAGTATGTAATGATTGGAGTAATGCAACACCCGAAATAAGTTCTGCTTAGGCCCAAGTTAATGATTAGAGTAATACGACACACACAGAATAAGTTCTTCTTCTTGGTTCTTTCGGTAAAGTCACGTAGAAGGGAAGTAATAACATAATAAAGATAAAACATAATAAAATAATTCTCACGACGTTTCGGCTACAACGCGAGCAGCGTTGTAGCCTGGACAGAGAATTATTTTATTATGTTTTATCTTTATTATTTTATTACTTCCCTTCTACGTGACTTTACCGAAAGAACCAAGAAGATGAATCCCTGCAGTCACGAAAGCTTTAAATCGAAAAGAATAAGTTCTGCTTAGGGACCCGATGCGCTAGCACCACCCCTAACTCACTCTCACCTTTGGACTTGTCAGGATGCAGAGGCAGTAAGCTTTGTGTCAATGGCCTCAATCATGACAGCAATTTCAGTGCGCTCTCAATCTTCACACGTACTGAAATTAATCATCATGTTTATAGGTTTTTTTCCATGCTAATATTTCCAACGCAACCTTTTTTAGTTCTACTGAAGCATGTAATTACGCATCACATGCTCATATTAACAAGGGTACAACCGTGCAGAGGCAGGTCCAAGTCAGACAACAAAATATTTTACTTCCCCAGCCATCATACATCTGTTGTGAAAAGAGATAGCGTATTTAATCTCAATGGACTTTCATCCACCTGTCATGGTTTGAGAAACTATAGTTTAAAGCAATTTTCACATCTGAAACATCGATATTAACACATCTCCCATTACTGTCTAAATGTGCATACATATGTAGTAGGTTCGAATTAGGTGCACACACACGCAGCTTGGAGGCAACACTATTTATTAAACGGTAAGTAATATAACACTGTACATGAGGTGGTGACCACCTTCCTCAACTCACTAACACTCTGGAACACGACACAGACTGGACCAGGCAGGCAATAGCCTGCCTGGCCCAGGACGACGACTCGGGACTTGACGACCGATGATGTCTTCACTTCGGAGTACAGTACAACAGCCTCGCTCTGCGTTCACACCACGCTTATATCTGCTTTGGCCTGGCCGGCTCCGCCCAGGCGTGGCTGGCTCTGTCCAGGCCACGCCTCCCTTCCCAGGCCACGCCTCCCTTCCCCCACCTCTGGGAAGGTCCGGATCCCTCCACCACGTGACCCCCCAGGCACCCCCTTGGGGCCCCCAGCCCTCGTACGGGCCGACACAGTAGTGACCGTTCTATGTCACTACACATACATAGCGTACAAATTACCAAATCACCCGGAATCCACCCAATCTCGTCACATCTCAGGAGCTAAGCAGGCTTGAGCCTGGATAGTGCTTGGATGGATGATCACCAGGCATGCCAGTTTGCCAAAAGTGACTGTGGAGCTACGTGGTGGTCTGCAGAGGGCAATGCAACAAAAACCCACTGTTCTTTTGTATCGTACTTACATGCCCCCCCCAACACCTATGTTCCTCACGTTCACCAATCCGCACTGACCAGCGTTGTGAAATATGGATAAAACAACTCCCACAACTGACATGGCATGTGTGTGTTTAATTTAACATCAGAAATAGGGGAGCCAAAGCTACTCCTTTGTGTGCCATGCCAATACAAACGGGAACATCGATCATGACAACAATTCACAATTACTCGATGGAATATCAGTGTTATATGTGAAAATTATAACAATAAGTTACAGACCTTTGTCAATTCAGTTATTTTCAGACAGATCCTGGATAACTTCAGAATTATTTGCCACCAGTGTACATGGACAGGAAATTAACCTGGGTGACCGGGGATTGTGATGGAATGTGACATCCAACGCTTCATAATTTCCCCACTTACAAACACACACAGCATTTGCAATACTCTGCAAACAGGGAGGTCATGGTAATGAATGGTAATCAGTCGTACTCAGAGCCGATGGATATGCAGATTTCTCCAGGGTGAATGTAGGTGGAATGGTACCATTGGTTGGTGTCCACAATCACTGCAATGGAAAAATAGGTAAATGTAAGGAATCGAAATTAATTTCTCACGCCACTGCTGGGGGATGGAGCTCTAGAACTTTCCTCTTATGCATATTTTGGTATACTCTCACACTGGTCAGATGCCTTGAAAGAGATGGGAATACCAACCCTTTACCCCACCACACGTGACCTGCCGAACGACTGTGGTGAACCCATATATACTGTCGGGTGGGCAGATGTGGCAGGGATATAATAAATTGCCCATGGCTTCAACTGTCGCGCCAGGAGGTTGAACCCGGTGAGCTTTGTGTTGTAAGTCCACTGTGCAAACCATTATACCACAATAATGAAAATAATTAGTTTCTCTAGGAAGTACAATATTGAAGCATTACAAGCAGGTACGAAAGTGTGCTCCATGCAACTAAACATTAAATGGAATGATTTTTTTTAAAGATCTGTATAAATATTCTCCCTAACATTGAGGATGATGACCGCTAGGACTCCTAGGAATCGGGGTAGTCCAGCCAACAGCAAATTGCATTATGAACAAAGAAAGAATTTCACATCAATCACTTTTAACAGTCATTTTGACCCCTTTGGTAAGGTCAAATACGAAGGTGTTTATTAAACCAGCACCTTTTGATGTATTAGCAAGTCAAACCTAACCTCTTGATGAATATTTAACATCAACAGTTCATTCAAAATCACAGAATACATTGTAGTCTACGAGGAAGGGGAACAAAGAGCTCACTGAGATCAAATGTACGTGATCAGCTGCAGCAAAACTCTCCTTGTGATAGAAACAAGTTAAAGCTGTGCCTGCAAAGCATCGCAGCAGAGTCACGCAGAGCGGGAAAATGTAAATGCGGTGACAAATGTGGCCGCTCATGAGGGTTTCTGTCATGTGGCTTTGTCCAAATGTGCTAAATTTAAAGATTACCTGCAAAAATGTCTCATTCGGGATTACACAATCAATGATTGCGCCCTATTGGTGGACTAATGCCCACTTGCATGAGTCACATTGTGCCACACCGGGACAGCTGCCATTGGGGGTGCCCTTCGAATGTTTGATACGGGATGCGATGTGCTTTGAGTTGGTGGGGCATTTAAACGCCATATAAATGCAAAGATAATTTGTTACGGCAATATTACGATATATATCATACTTTAATACACGGAATTATCGATGCTTATTATATTTATCTTCAAATATTTTATTTCCTCACAAAATGTCTGTTAAATAACACTCAATAATAAAATTTGCCAATAAATAACTAGTATCCAATTAAATAATTGCTTCGCTAAATGTTTATTTTCAAGTAATTGACAATATGGCAATCGCACTATGTAATCATTTTTGTAGTTCTTGTATTTATTTCTTGTGCAGCAATATTTGCCTTATAAGCATTATGGGTATGAAGTAGATATTATTCGAAACCGATTGCAGGCTAATGTTGAACGAAATGCATTTTAAGACTTTCAGAAATAGTTTTTCGAGGAGCAAAGTGCAACAATACAATTGCAAAGAGCGATTGAAAAGTAAAAAAAAACGGATATTTTGATAATCGCCATATTAGATCTAATATTGTACCATATCGTAAAATCATATAGTGGCAACCCTACTGCTCAGGCACATGCCGTACGTACGTATGTCTCCCTTCTGAAGTGTTGCTTGCAGGGGATGGCAAACCTCTTCACACTCCGGGGGTGGCAACAGGTCCCATGTTTTCATTCCTGAGATCTGAGCCTGCCAAGACGGACGCTGCACTTTGTCCAGCTGATTATGAGAGAGAGAAAAAAACGTAGACTACTTTGTTATTAAATAATACATTCCACAGCGAAAGGGTTTTAGGTCACACGGTGAAGGAAAAAAAACCCCATCCAGTTGCGAGCATCTCTGATTGCACAGTGCTTCAGTGTAATCGAACAGGCTTCATATTTAACTCGCCATCAGATTTAGTGCCGATGACTAAATCACCCAGAAGATAAACAATTTTGTTAGATCTCAGAGGCTAAGCAGGCTTGAGTAAGAGTTGTAAAACAGGAGTTTTTAGCAGCTTCGGGGGTGACGTTGGCAGTAGAGGGCAGTGCAGAAAAATGCATTGTTTTACTGCTATGTCCACAATCTCTGCCCTCACAAACCCACACTGTGTGGGGAGGCCCATACCACGTGGGTTTGTGAAATGACCAAGAGCTGTACAAGTACACATAGACATTGGCAGGGGGGAGTTGCTGCATTGGTTCACGCACTGAGCTCTGGACCTGGGCACCTGAGAATTAAATTCCCCACAACAGATAACACCGGTGACAAATTATATGTACATGTACTGACTCTGGAGACCCCCACACCCCCTGTGTTGGCACATTGAGCAATGGGCGTACGTGAATGTGGCTTCCCTGGCCGGCCCAACCCATGAACACCCAGTCAAGCGTGCTGCTCTCTGAGTTGGCAGGGAGGAAGGCTGGCCGCTGGTAGTAGCTTCGCAGGATGGGAGTCAGCTCATCGCTGCAGCTGCTCCTGTGGTGAAAGCACAAAGTCCCATGCGCACAATTCAATATGAACCCATACAAAACTTCTCAAATCCCAAGGTGTAATGTAAAACCTATTTGAACAATCAAACTCATGATAACTATAAAAAATGTCATTTTCAGACCTTTGGCAATCCACTGCTAGATGAAGACCTTTCCATGCTGTTGCTTTCGATGGGGTTTGTTTGACCATACATCATCATGCTGGCCAAAGCGAGTTAGTGGAGGGGGAGGGTAGCGCCCAGAATTGCTTCAGATATCACTCACCACTGATGTTCGCCGCGTCAACCATTACAGTGTGTCAACCATTACACCACAGCAGCATCCTTAATATTGTATGAACTATAAAGCAGTACTACAAGCCACCAAATATTCCAAGCATAACTTTGCACAAAATTACCACTATAAAAACCTCATAAGTTACAAGAGGAATCTATTTTATTTTATTTACTAACTCTTCACCTTAAACCCGAGCGATAGAATCGATGTGTGTGATGTAGAGCTTTGTGCTTTCATCCATCAACACCGACAAGGTGTGCCGCCACACTTACCATCCCACGTACCAACTGGGGCCGCCATCCTTCAGGGTCGCTCTCTCCTCTGTCATGTTGAACACGTCGGCCAGAGAGGTGAAACCCGACGAATACGAGAAAAACTGACACTCCTGCACAGTCTTCCGCAGCGCTTCGCTGTGGTTCAAGTACATCAACTGGAAGAACGTGAAATTGAAGTCAGTGAGTGCTTTCCAGCCGCTTGTGGCCCCGCGCACAAGCAGCGGCCGGCCTGTGTAGGCGAAAGTCCTCAAAAACTCCTGCGGCGACAGCTGGTCGCTGGCCAGCACGGGCACCTGCTCCATGTCCGCACACAGGCTGGGGCAGTGAGAGGGCGGGCGGCTGATCTCGGTCGCCACCAGCCCCATGTCCATGAGGCAGGGCTCGGAGAACAGCGAGTCGCCCTTGGCCACGGCCAACACGATCGAGGCAGCCAGGGCTGCCACGGCGCACAGTCTCGCCGGGGTAAGGGCACAGTAGAGGCGGGTGGCCCACGTCCATCTTCCGGCTCGGTGGCCGGATGCGTCTCTTAGGTGCTTTTTGTACGATCGGGCGCCTAGGCTTGCTCAGGCACTGCATTAACGCGTCCCTTGCCTCGCGTGGAGTTAAGCCGCCGTCGACGGCGCTCTGGTAGAGCTCTACGAACTTAGCTGTGAGTGCTTCCACGGAGCGGGCATCTTGCAAGTTGTTCTCATCCGTCGTACCCATTGCTCGCTGCCGGGAGAGTGCAAACACGACGGGTAGGGCGTGGGTGTGAGATAAAAGTCAATGGCGAGATCGTGTTTTGGCTTGTTGCAAGGATGCTATGTTACGACTTAGCAACCCCAGCACACTCCTGATTTATAGTGGACTTAAAAACGCATTTTTGGTATATCTGCTAAGCAGTCAGAGGGCAGTGTAATGTACTTAGTGTTGTGAAGTGGTTGCAAAGTGGTTGGTGCACTATGCTGTGAACCTGGCTCCCTACATATGATTCCTGGCTATGGCTAACATCAGTGGGGAGGGATATCTGAAGCGTTTTTGGGGACAACCCCTTAAACCAACCTGCACTGACCAGCGTGGTCAAGTATGGTTGAACCTCCAGGATCGACACGGCGTGGGGAGGGCTTCATCCAGCAGTAGGTTAACAAACGTCTGTAAATGTATATTATAAAGTTTCAGTACACAGTATTCATTCATTCATGCAATGTAATTCAATGTCAATGCTATTTTCAATATTTATTTAGGTAGGTAGACTTTGGCACACATACTATAATAAAATAAGTCATGAGAGCATTGCAACCAATTTGCCAGTAATTGGGTTCAGAACTGCACGCATCACATCTGAACTCAAGATTTTGACCAGATCACCAAGAATATTCGCCGGCTCTCATCAGATCTCCAAAGCTAAGCAAAGTTGAGCCTGGATCACCATGCATCTGCTTAGAGTTGTTATTGTGGGCCAACGCTATCAGCAGATGGCACTGCAACAATATCCATTGGTACTGTGCTGAACTTCTATGCTCCCGCGACCTTACGCTCACAAACCCGCACGGGACCCCTCGTCCAGCAGCGGATTGACAACACGGCACTGATTCTAGATTTGAAGCTTTCGTGACTGCAAGGATTCATATTCTTAGGTTTTAAAAACACACAAGTAGCTCACGAGGCCTAGAGCTGGCTGGTAAACAGTGCGAACGTTCACACTGGCCGGACACACAACACACTCCCCTCTCTCTCTCACACACGGCTTGCAAGGCGCGATCACTAAATCACGTCTCGCGTGTTTGTCCGGCAAAGTTTGTTAAAGGCAATGAAGATGGGGGGTGGGGGGTGGGTTAAAGTAAGCGTAACTTCGTGGTTCATGAACCCACCGCACAAGTGACCAGGATAACCCACGTGGCCGGTGCGAGAGATCACGACTGCCGCGGGGTCTCTGCTGAGCGACAAGTTTCCTCCGCTCTCTGCAAGCGACAGCGACGAAATTCTAGCACGGGTGGAGGTAGCAAAGTGGCAGCAGCATCAGCAGCGTCCAGACCGGGGCGGGGCGAAGGCGGTAGGGGGCGGGGCGAGGGCGGCAGGGGGCGTGGCGAGGGCGGCAGGGGGCGGGGCGAGGGCGGTAGGGGGCGGGCGAGGGCGGTAGGGGGCGGGGCGAGGGCGGTAGGGGGGGGGCGAGGGCGGTAGGGGGCGTGGCGATGGCGGTAGGGGGCGGGGCGAGGGCGGTAGGGGGCGGGGCGAGGGCGGTAGGGGGAGGGGCGATGGCGGTAGGGGGCGGGGCGAGGGCGGTAGGGGGCGGGGCGAGGGCGGTAGGGGCGGGGCCACGCGTATCTGGCCACGCCCTTCACAGCTGGAAACCAAGTCCACCTCGGCTGACAACACCCCGGGTGACAACAACAAAACCTACTGAACTTATAGTTTTTTTTATTTTACCAGGTAAGGGGCCGTCCATAAATGACGTCACGCGATTTTGGATGATTTTTTACCCCCCCCCCCTCTCGTCACACTGCGTCACAAAAAGTCAGACCCCCCCCCTGAAATATGACGTCACAAAGCTCTGCCCCCCCCCCCTTCCCAAAATAAAACATGCTTCAAATCGCTTTAAACTATTGTCATTGTAGTGTGCATTTAATGTGGCGCTGCACTCTGATGTTGTAGGAGAAAACCTTTATCCTAAAGTATATTTAATTAAGTAGAACGTGTTGTCTATATTTATTTAAAGTTGCGCATTTTGATGTGACGTCACATTTCTCAACCCCCCCCTCGTCACACATCGTCACAAATGTCTGACCCCCCCTAGGTGCGTGACGTCATTTATGGACAGCCCCGAAGACCCAATGATTTATTTAGCTCTTTTGTGACAACAAATGTCTATAATAAAAATACTGAACAATTTATTTTTATTTTACCAGGTAAGGCCCACTGAGCTATTTAACTCTTTTTCAGAATCGATCTGGCCACAAATGATAGCCCAACAAAGTGGCTTATCGTATGGAAATTTATCGCAGACAAATACTCTAAACGCACGTTTCTAAATAGTGTAGGGGAAAACCGGAGGACCCAGAGAAAAAAAATCCACGTGGCCACGGGAAGAGAGACATGCAAACTCCAAATATACAGGCGTCAGGGTCGGGATCGAACCCACGCATTCCTGTGTACCAGGTCGGGCAGTTAACATCTCACCACTGTGACTTTGAAGATCCCTGGATTTTATCTAACGCGATGCTCATGGTCCATCCTAAACTGCATCCATACAAACCATGGTAGATGCGGATACCTGATGCACAAATGGAAAATTAAAAACTCTCCAATCTGTGACTGTGGTCGTCCAGAACAGACCGTAACGTATAATGATGCAATTCGCGATCCACAAATACGAATGAGACATCACAGCGATACATTCCGCTGCTCCTGTGATGGGGTTATCTAGCTTGACCACCTGAATGTGAAATCGTAGTTGTTGCCCTGCATCTACATCAGCAGACATAGGCAAAGAGAAGATTGAACACTTATTAAATGACAACAGTTTTAAGATTATTTTTATTTGTTTCGCGGCTAGTTTACGAGGGAGAACCATGGCGAGCGAGCTCAAGCAGCAACGCCACGGTGGTGAGATGTTAACTACCTCGCCTGGTATGCAGGAAGTCGTGGGTTCGATCGCAACCGTGACTCCGCGTGTCTCTCTCCCCGTGGTCACGTGGAATTTTTCTCCGGGTCCTCCGGTTTTCCCTCCAAATGTAGAACATGCATTTAGAGTATTTCGCTGCAACAAATTTCCACACGATAAGCCACTTCGTTGATCTATCATTTGTGGTAGCCATGTCCCTTCTGAAAAAAGAATCTATATAGTTCAGTGGGCCTTACTTGGTCAAATTTAAATAGTGTAGTTTAGCAGCAATATAAATGAAAGATGAAAACATTAAATATTGCAGTGACCGAGCATAGAGGGGTCCTGAATGAATATTGCACAACTATCAAACCGTAACGGTTGTAAACGAAACACGAGAATAAAACAATTGTCAGACTTTTCATGACGGAATTTAACACCCACGTAAGACATTTAGCTCAGACTGCTTTGAGCTTGGTCTACTCGGAAATCGAGTGGGCTGCATCATCAATGATTAATTTATTGTATTTGTAATTTGGACCTAGATACTTTTACTATGTTGATTATTTCAAACATCTTCACGTCACGCCTCTTCAAATACAAGTCACCCCACCCCCTTACCAAAGTCATTGATTTATGTGTGTGCATATTTTTGGGTATTTCTCATGTGACAGTTGTGTTTGCTCTAATTTCTAAGCACGATCTGTTTGGCTTTTGTCATTCTGTTGACACGTGTCTCTCGATGTCTCACCTGGTTAAATAAAATAAACCTGAAACTTAAACTGCGAATTGTTATGGCCTGGAAGGTCGCCTATTATACAGTTTTCCTTTGAAGGCAAGTGGTATTGACGAACGTATTGACTCGTTGGTCACGTGTGCTTGTGCAACACTGCCAACAGAGTATCACCAAATCATGAGTTTAATCTTACATGAAACACAAAAACAGAAAACATATTTTTGTCTTTACTTGGTACTTCCCCCCGCACTTCTGATTAGCACGGTTGGCTTCGTATGGTGCGAAAGACGTTCAACATACACGGGAGAGAAAATAATAAATTAAATAATAGCATACGACGTTTCGATTGCAACACAAGCAATCATCATCAGGCACAAACGAAAGCGAAAACAAAACCTAGTAAACTTAGAAATACAATGCAATACAACACAGATTGTCGGCTATCATAACAGTCAACACCCTACCTGGTTGATTACGTTCTTCCAAAGATTGCTAAATTTAAGAGAGAGATTAAACACAGAACTGGAGACACATAGACAGACACGTAAGCAGAGAGAGATAACACAGAGACACACAGAGAGAGACAAACACACATTTATTATTTTATCTTTCTACGTGACTTTACCGAAAGAACCAAAGAGTAATTCCTTGCAGTCACGAAAGCGCCAAATAAAGTTTGATACATGGGAGACTATATCCTGATCTCTTTGGGTTCTCATCTGGACAAATCCATTAATCTTTGGTTCTTTCGGTAAAGTCACGTATCTCTTTGGGTTCTCATCTGGACAAATCCATTAATCTTTGGTTCTTTCGGTAAAGTCACGTATAAAGATAAAATAATAAATTAAATACTAGTATGCTAGTATTTAATTTAATGGATTTGTTTAGATGAGAACCCAAAGAGATCAGGATATAGTCTCCCATGTATCGGTAAAGTATAAAGATAAAATAATAAATTAAATACCAGCCTACTGGTATTTAATTTATTATTTCATCTTTATACGTGACTTTACCGAAAGAACTAAACATTAATTCCTGCAGTCACGAAAGCTCCAAATTAACATTAAACAAATCCAACTTGAATCTTCCCCGAGTAACCGCGCCCACACAGCTCAAGCCACGCCTCCCCAAATACAAGCCACGCCCCTTACACCACAAGCCCCGCCCCCGACCAGTGAAGCCACGCCCCCTGTCACACAGCCCCGTGCAAAGCCACGCCCGGCAAACCACAGCCCCGCCCTCTCGTGCAACGGACCAATGAGGAGGCGCCGTCGCGAGGACCCCGTGGGTGCCTTGCGCGCGGTGCCTGTTCGCGCCGCTGACCCCGCTGGGTGCGCGTCCGAAGGCGCCACAGTAGCCGCCCGGGCGCCGCCTTCGCGGGTTTTTGTTTACGAGCACGAACGGCGGAAGCGACGGCGACGGCGGCGGCAGCAGCAGCAATGGACCCGCTGCGAGGCTGAGCCATAACCCCGGAGACGATGAGGGATAAGGAGCAGAAGAAAGGGCGCACTTGGCTCGAGGCGGCGCGCATGGTGAGGCGCTCCCCGCGGCTGAAGCGGCCGGGGCGGCCCGCAGGCTTTGGGCCTAAACCCCGCGCATCCTCCCCGTGTGGTGGCTCGCTTATGTTGTATGTTTATATACGTACGTACGTATGTGCGTGTGTGTGTGCTTATAGGGGTGTCTTTGTGTGGTTATGTATGTTGGTATGTTTGTACATGTTAGCGCGCGTATCTGTGTGTCGTGCATATCTCTGCGTATCTATTTTTTGTCCATGTGTACATCTCGGCGTCTGCCTTGATGGTGTCTGTTTATCTCTGCGTGTGCGTCTGTGTATTTGAATGTTAGGTTTAGTGTGTACGTCGATGTGTGTGTTGCTTTATCTTTTTGTCCGAGTGTATCTGTATGCATGTCTCTGCGCGCGTGTCTTGTTTTGTCCATGCTGGTCGATGTGTATCTGTGTGTCTCTTTGTCCATGTGTCTGCTGTGTTCTGTTGTTTTTTTGCCTCGCTGTCTTTCTGTTGTCAATGCCCTGTCTGGTTATGTGTGTTGTGTGTGTGTCTTTGTGTAGATATGCGTGTCTGAGTGTCTTTGTGTATGTGTGTGTGTACGTGTCCGTCTTGGCGTGTTTGTGTCTCTGATTGTGTGTGTGTGTATACGTGTGGGTATCTTTCTCCAGTTGTATGTTTCTTTGTTTGGCTCTACTATCTCGGTTTCTTTGTGTAAATCTAAATGTAGCATCGTCTCTGTCCCATCGCCTCCGTGTCTCGCTTTAGCAACACCACCCCCCTCTCCATCGCCGTTTCGGATGGTGGGGGCTGTTTAAGATGGAGGGTCTTGGTGTGGATGGTAATGGTGGTGATGGTATTCGTGATTATGATCATGGTGGTGATGACGGTGGGATTGGTGATTACGATGAAGGTGGCGGTGATTATATCGGTGATGTTGGTGATGATGATTAGTGTCGACTGTGATTATGGTGGTGATGGTGAGATGGTATTGGTAATTGAGATTATGGTGGTGATGGTGATTGTGATTATAGAGTGATATGAGTGGTGATTGTGATTATGGTGGTGATGACAATAATGGTAAGTATAACACGTAGGCTTTCGCCTATTATTAATAATGGTAACGTTGATGATGGTGGTTGTGATTATGATGGAGATGATTTATCTTGCGCGCTCCCCTCGTCTTTTCGCTCTTGAGATGGTATCAGTGATGATGATCGTGGATGATGATGGATGTTTTGGTAATTTCGATTATGGTCGTGGCGATTATTTTAGGGCTAATGGTATTGCTGATTGTGATTATGATGGTGGTGATTATGATAGTGTGATTTTGGTGGTGGTGATGGTATGTGCCGGAGACGATTCGTATGTCCCTGTCTCGTCTGTCTACAGAGGCGTGCTCACGTAGAATTCGTATGCAGAGGATGTGTGTGGGGGTTGGTGATAATCGTTGTGTTTCTGATGAGGACGATGTTAATGTTTGGGAATTATTTTTTGTGAGGATTGTGATTGGGATAGTGATGGTCATGTTGGTGATGATGATTTTGGTGTCGATCGTGGTGGTGATTCATCCTTCTTGTCTCCCTGTTTCCTCCCTATCCTGTCTGTCTCATTGCTGGGAGTAAGTGGCAGATTGTTTCCGTTCTTTTGCACTTTGATGGAGTGAACTGTGGGAGACAAGGGTCTTGCTGATGGTCGTGGATGTGGTGATGATGTTGGTGACAGGGATTTGTTGGGATGCCTTATAATGTTGACAAGGCAGTCAAGTTGATGTTATTCTGCTGATTATTAATGTCATGTGGTATGCACGGTTATGGTGATGGACAATATTGCTGTGATGTTCGTGTTTTACAGGGAACTGCTGTTTGTTCGATAATCCAATGGATCATTGTTTAGTTTGCAAGGCAGTACTACTGCTGTTGATACTATGGCTCACAGGACCTTGCGGATGATTGTTCAAGGCCATGCTGATTCCTATGATAAATACAAAAAAATATTAACCATGGTAACTTTTGCTGATGATATAGCAATGATAACAACCAATGAGAATGAACTGCGACAAATTATTACATTATTTGTTACATCATAAAAGTTTTGTTCCAGAGAAAGGTTCAGTAAGTACGTTTGCTGAAAAAAATATTACGTTTTTGAGGGACATAACTGTAAAACACAAATATGCGGTTTTACCGAGGCCAATAATTATTGCAGGCATGTCGGGACTGAAAGTATGAAATAGAGATGAGGAAGAGCTGTTTAAGAGTGCTTTTGTAAAACTAAACTTAATGAAATGCAACTTACCCAATGTGCTTAAAGAATCGTATTAATTTGATGCACATTACTCACTGACATGAGTCGGAAACATGGACACTGACCTCAAAATGGAACGAAAGATGAAAAGTCTGCAAAGCCATGGCCATGTGTGCTTGGAGTTACTGAAAACAAAAAGAGAAGCACATGGATCAAAAATGCACATTAGAGATGTCATATTGACTGTTAAGATCTTAAGTGGGCTTGGGCAGGACACATCGTTAACAGGGATGACATTTGATGGACGAGGCTCATGGTCGAATGGCAACCAAAAGAGAACACACCTGAGAGAAAGACCACAGGGGAGATGGAGCGATGAGATCTACTCGCGGGCAGGAACAAAATGGATTGTGGCATCGCAGCACTAAGGGATGGAGATGACGTGGGGAGGCAGTGGATAGATCGCGAATGATGATGCTGAGGGTGATGGGAAGGTGTTGACATGTGTGCCTGTTTGTGTCTGCCAGCTGTGGATATTGCATTACCTTTTAACAGAATGATTTCCCGTTAGGTAAGCTGCTGATAGACTGCACATTTTAAATAATGGCTCTTGTACGCAGGCGAGATGTCAAACTGTTTTGTGGAAATTAATGGAATGCAGTGACTCTCACGTGTTTTTTTGTTTTAGTGTGGTAGATTAGCTTGAATAAGGTGGCAAAAGCATTGCCAATTAGGCTGAGGATGCATTCATAGAGAAAGTATAAACGTCTTGCTTGTGTTTCAATGATCAATACGGGGCATTGTGTACATAAGTGGTTTGTGTTGCTATCGGATGGTCGCTTTTTAACATGACGGAAGGACGTGCTTGGCATGGGTGATGGTGGTGGGCATGTTATGGATTCCTTGTGGTAAGAAAGAGTTCAATAGTGGATGTGAGACTGATGAATCAAACGCTCGTAATGGAGGTCAGCCTTTAAAAAAACGATGGCCTGCTGTGTGCCTGTGTGGCGAGACATCATTTAAAAGGGCACAGTCGTAGTATGGCCATGCTGCAATGTTGGGCTGAAAATTGCACCGTTTGTAACTCCGCATTGATGCGTTGTGTCTGACATGGATTGTTGTTTGGAAGGTGCTTGAAAAACACAAGAATGCTCCCATGAGCCAAAAGGACATTCTCAACTTCATTCAGAAGGACAAGCTCAAAGAGATCAGGTTGGTAAATATTGGCGTTTGAAAGTAAATTAAAAAGCGAGCAGCAGTACACACGTTTTGGCGGTCATGGCTTTAGAGGCCAACACATTGTCTTCACACTCCAGAAGTGTTGGTTTCGATTCGCAGTAGACAACCGACCAGGGTCGATGCACATAAGTTGATTGGTGGAGCGAGTGTGGTGGGTGAAAGAGTGGGTACCCCCACGGTCGCAGCCCACGTGTTCGGCGTGCAAAAATAGGCGAAGGGGGAAGCCCCTGTGCTTGCCGTGTCGTGAGCGAGCGTTCCTGGGTGCGGTGTTTTTAAATAAAGTGCAGTTTATCTGTTCAGTGAATGCAATTGCTACGTCTTTGATATGTGTGTTCTTTGTAAATGTCACGTGTTATATCGTCAGTGGCATGTTGCTTTCTGCAGTGGTGTGAATTACCCGCTGAATGTGCTGGGTGCCATGCTGTATTCTAATGCTCGGACCACCAGCGGCATTTTCTACAAAGTTCCAGGAAAACTGGGGGTTTATAAGCTCAAAGTAAGCATGTGTTACATAAACCACCCACCACACTCTGCGCAGCATGATCACCTATTAAATAATGTAAATTTTATTATTGCCATGGAATTATACTCTTGACACGATATGCACATTTTATGGTGTAATTATCAGGAGGTTTGAACAAAACCTTTTCTGCACTATTGTATACTTTTTATATACAATATACTGTTTTTGGCCAATTTAAACTGTGATAAGTGGAGTTTAATACCTCCGCTAATTTATTCCACTTATTTCACTTCTGAGGATAAACACTTCATACATTTGCACGATATAGAATGGGGCGTAATGGAAACGGACCCCTAATCTGCAAGGCATGAAGGAGTGTTGTGGTAAGAGGTGTATTGATGTGGCACCGAGTTACGTGCGTTGGCTCTTCCTTGGTCATTACCCAACTTGACGAGCATCTGTAATGGTCTGTGAGGATCGGCATTGTAGCCCACCCACCACTTCACCGTAGTGCATCTAACGTACACCGCAAACACATCACATTCTTGCGCGTATGTACGCAGTGCCATCCTCCGTGTTCTTGCAGAAATCCGCGCCTAAGAAGAAGAAGAAGCCGCAGTCAAAGAAGCCGAATAAATGTGGAGGCTCACAGGGGGCTAAGGGCGTGAATAACAGCAAATGTAACTCGGCCACGCCGGGCAGGGAGAGCGGGAGTCGGGCAGCACACGCGCCGGAACGCGCCTCCCAAGCGACCATCAACACAAGGGCACGCACCATGATCAAGCGCAGAGGTGACGGCTCGCTCCTCATGGTTCTTGAGACCAAATATAGCTTATCGGTACCACCCAGAGAGGGCAAATGCTTACCATTATTTTATTCAAGGGTATTGTCTCCAGATCACAAACAATTGTGAGAGCAAAGTCAACCGTGGTAGTGTTTTCGAAGGAAAAAGAAGTCACTGTAAAGTTTACCATGATATGTTTAAGAGAGAATATTGTTTGGAGGAAAAAATACAAAGAAGATATGAAACGTACGGAATAAAGAATAAAAATAGCAGGTGTGTCTTTAAAACAATATATACGCTATGTTTTCTGCCCATGGTGGGTATTCTCCATGGCGGATTCTGGTAACATTTGCCACCTCAGGTGGTACCGACCAAACGCCTTGGCTCATGTGATATATTGCCCCCCTTAATCAGACTGAAAGATGTGTGTCGGTTACCGCATTGGTGCAATGTGCGGAGAAGTCGCCGTTCTATGCATGCGACGCACACCTGTATAATTTAGCACCGCAAGTAGGTTTGTATAGACTTGGGAGTGCAAAGTTTTAGTGTTATTCTCTTATGCGTATGTATGCGTTTTCTCTTTGAGCTGTGTTTTTATTTGTATTCAAATTGCATGTACAATACGTAAAATAACGGTTAGCTTTTTTTGTCTTTATCTATCACCTTGTTTAGTTTTAGCCACTGTGCAAGAAGTCTGATTACGGTCGACCAAATGCTGCCAAGTGTTTGTTTCTGATGTGTGCGAGCCGCATTTATGCATGCTCTTCCGTTGGAAGTGACAGCGCAGCTCCACTTTGGCTCAGTGTTACGTTTCGCCCCCCCCCCCCCCCGCGCTTGTGCCCGTGCAGTGTCGTCACGGCTGGCCTTGAGACGGAGCCTGGCCCAGTCGGGAGGTGCGGTCCCATCGGCCTCTCCGGGGCGGCCAGTGTCCGTCAGCCAGCAGCACTCGCGCAAGGCTCTTAAGCAGGTCACCACGACACCCTTTCCCTTATTGCCCGACTCGCGGAAGTGTCCCCCTTGATGCTCAATTATAACATTTGTTTTGCGAGATCAAATGGGATAGGTTTTTTGGATTAAACCTTATTTAGGATTTTTATATGACTGGTTATTTACATGATCTTGACGAAAAGCTTTCTCGTGACTGCAGGAATTAATATTCTTTGGGTCTTTCGGTAAAGTCACGTAGATAGGTTCAGTTTGAGTTTCTGTGCCGACAAACGTGATGTCACCTGTATCTACGGCCGGAAAAGCACCAATGTAACTTCATGTGTAGTGACTTAGCACTTCCAGTTTTAGAAATAATCTGAAACATTTTATCTGAAATTTCATATCAATGCCCGATTTTTCCAATTAATATGATAATGTGGAACTCAATCCAATAATATAGTTTCGCAGTGGTATCACCTCACAGAAAAGTGTTAGAATTGGTTTATTACGGGCTTACTGCGATGTGGTGATGCTTCAGTTTACATAAAATGTCTTAATTTGTAAACACATAGCAATCGTCACCCCCTAATGTGAAAGGTTTGTGGGACTCCTGAAAACAAACTTTTGAATCGGTGTGATCACGGAGGGCTTGTCCACATTACTATGACAGTTTTATTTTACCAGGTAAGACCCACTGAGCTAGCTCCTTTTCAGAAGCGACCTGGCCACAAATGATCGCTCAATGAAGTGGATTATCATTTTAAAATTTACACCAGCCAAATACTCGAAACACATGTTTTGAAATGTGGAGGGAAAAATAAGAGGACCCAGAGAAAAATCCACCCAGTCACAGAGATAACATGCAAACTCCAAATTTCCAGGCATCAGGGTCGGGCTCAAACCCACCATCTCCTTTTATACCAGGTGAGGTAGTTTACATCTCGCCACCGCGACACCACAAAGCCCTTGAATCGCAAAGCAGCAGCATCAGAAGACAATGAATGATGGCCATTCATTGCTGATGATTCCTAACAAGGATGTAACAGTTATATTGTGTCATTGTTTTGTTTACTGTCTAAAATAATATGGCCACTATTTTGATTCTTTTGAGTTGGTGGTTTTAAAGCAGGCTGTGTGCATTCCGCACGCAGCGTGAAGATGTCACGTGACATGCAATGCGTGATGGGAGGAATGATGCAATGGTCACGTTTTGCATCCATTGCGGTCTTTTGCGTGTATTATTATTACTCATAAATGGTGTCTCTAGCTCGGCCGAAGAAGCGGCGAATGTAAGCGGGAGGTGGTCTTGTGTGGTGCGGTTGCAGGCACTGAAGCGGCAGCAACAGCAGACCCAGCGCCGTGGCGTGGTGGTGTCGGCCGGCAAGCTCATGTCCCGGCTCATCCTCACGAGCTGCGGCACTTCTGAGCACACCCCACCCCGTGAGTCTCCTCTTCTCCATCTTCTTCCGAGCGTTTGTCGCGGCAACTCGGTGGGGTCACGACGAGACGCAATAAAGAAGGTGGGAGTGGTGGCATAGCGGGGATAGCGTGTTGCGCGATGAAATAATAAGGTTGGACGCACCATGTCTCGCTTGTAAGCGGTATTTTTTTTGGGCAACCCGAAAAATCGAATTAACAAAAATGTGACGAGCATGCAAAGCGATGCCAACTTGGTTGTCGGCTTCGGCTCCACGCTGCATATAAACGTAGCGTGCCAGGCAGTCCCGGTTTAGAACTGTAGCATTGGATTGCAATGATCCAGAATTGGCTTGTTATCTTCGGTGGGATGCCACGGTGGCTAAATGTGAACTCCCCATTGCCGGGTATGCAGGAGGTCATGGGTTCGATCCCGACCTTGGCAACTGTATATTTGTAGTCTCACATGATAAGCCACTGTATATTTGTAGTCTGCATGTCTAGCCCCCTGGGGTCACTTGGATTTTATCCTGGTCCTCCGGTTTTTCCCTCCACATTGAGAAACGTGTGTTTCGAGTACTTAGCTGCTTTAAATTTCCACATAATAAGCCACTTCATTGAACTATCATTTGTAGTCGGGTCGCTTCAGAACAATATTTTTTTAACCTTTTTATGTTCTGTTTTAAAATATACAACTGCAAATAAAATAATGTTCCAAGGTGTAGGTGGGCTAAATTTGGTTGGAATGGACATAGCAGGCTTTTATTAAGAAAACTCATCCCGGGGCACCCACCCCTTGAGTAATTCCCGTATTTTGGGTACACGCTACTGACTGTATTCGCTCCACTCGTAGTACCGGCGGGTACGGAGCTCATTTTTAAATCCTTTATATTAAGTTCGCGTGCTTGCGTGCTTGCTTGCTTGCTTACGACCGTGCAAATCTTTCGGTCGTTTTTTAACCCACTTCCCGTGATCCAATCGAGCTGACATTTTGCACACAGACTCGTTGTGCGAGACAATTAATGTTCGTGAAAATTTTTTTTCCAAAATTTTACTCTGTTTAATTACCAATTGCTTAATACTGGCAGACAATCATCTGACACATAGGTGGCAGCCATCTCAAGCCAGAGGACGAGAGGACTCTAGCCGCCACGCATATAAAGGATTTATAGTGAAAAACTTTGTTTTTGCGGGTTATACTTATTTGGTTTGATTTTGTCGTTCGGAGCAGCTTCGTCCAATGGCAAGGTGGAGCAGAACAACAACTCGAACAGCAACTCGCTCCGGGCTCCCGCGCTCGCGCAGACCACGTCGCTCGCCATCAAGAGGAGGCTCCCGTCTCGGCCTGACAAGCTGGATGCCGGTGAGCCACACGCGCATCCCCGGCGTGGGGAGACCTTTCGCCGGGTTGCTCCCCACGCGCACGGGATGGAACGTCGCCAACGTTGATTGTCAAAATCGGAATCTTGATCTGGACTCAAAGAATCCGATGGGCTTATGAAGCTTTTTCACACACGTGTCCAGTAAGGGTGGGAGTTGGCGCATCACAAAGTTAGAACAACAAACGATGCAAAAACAGATAGGAGTGAAAAGTACATGAAAGCTAAGCAAGTAATTAAATGTAAATAAAAAAAGTATTTAAGTACAAATGCATAAGTTGATTAATTCCTTCCGATTTTCCAACACCAACATTATTATCTTGGGCAAAGCAGCAAAACAGAAACAGTCCCAGACCATACCAAGACATCACACAGTCCCTCAATAAAATTGCACATGAACATTTAACTATCACGGATTGCCGTCGATTCTCACACTGATATACGCCCGCCCGCTACATTAATTGGCAGCGATTCTCACGCTCGCTATGCGTGCATCGATTCATAAAACATTCCTCTTTGGTAACTGATTACCGCGGCTAAGGCGCTGGCGGCGATTGATCCCCGAGTTCTTCAGCCCTACGTCTACAAGAAAAGCTCTGCCTTTGCGTGTGAACCGCCCTCACGCCGCAGGCGAGTTCAAGCGCGGCAAGGACTCCGGCATGGACGTGGAGAGCCCCGACTCTGTGCTGGTCAACATCGACCTGAAGGCGCTCATCAACCGGCACACCTTCGCAGCGCTGCCCAGCTGTAGCCAGCGCACACTGCTCTCCCTACTGCCGCTCGGGGATGGGCAGGTGAGGGGGGCGATGATGGGCACTTGAGGGGGCGATGGGCACGTCAGGGGTGATGAACAGATGATCGGGTGAGGAAAGTTTGAGGGAGAAAAACGATTGAACTTTTCGCATTTGAAACCTGTTATTTATTTAGAATATCCGGCTTGGCACCCGTTAGTGCTCCACTGAACATCTTTAGCTCTCATCTCTCTATGAGAGAAGAAAGGGTCAGTGATAGTAAGGGTTACTCTCCTGAAAAATAATTCCCATGACAATCGCCAAGAATGCAGCGTATCAGATCTCGGAGGCTAAGCAGGCTTGAGCCTGGACAGTGCTTGAATGGGTGACCATAGTCCATGACAAGTTTCTATAGGCTGCTGTGTGGTTACATGGTGAGCAGCAGAGGGCAGTTCTGCAGCAAAAGCCATTAGACTGTTCTACGCCTTCGACTCACACTTACCAGAGTGGTGAAGTATGGTGAAATAACCCCCATGAGGCCCTAGTCCAGCAGCGGATTGACAAGAGGGATGCGTACTGGAAAAATGAACGAGCGTATCTTGTCGATTCTCAGACAGTTGTGACCGCCTCTTAGTTTACATGTCCCTAGTGGCGCTCAGACACAGGTTTATGCTTCCACAGCTACCCGTCTTTATTTTTTGCATTGTTTAATATTAACTTGAAAGTAACTATGGTTATAAGCGAAGACACGAGACTTGGCCGGGTGCCGTCTGTACGTTCCAGGCCACGGAGAACGGAGTGAGTCTCAAGAGCACGGCCCTCAACAATGAGTTCTTCAATTTTGCAGCTGGGGAGTGGACGGAGAGGCTGGGGGAAGGTGAGACGACGTCGAGGTGGTCGGGCTTTCAGGTTTCGATTTCGTAGCCTGGCTCTGAGCCTTTCTGGAGCGCGAGGTGAAATGCAGCGTGGTGCCATTTAATGACTCGGGCGATTCGACGTGATGCGGGTCGCTACAACGCATCGTGAGCGAGCGCCGTACCCCGTGGAGACGAAGTGTGGGCAAGAGCAATGGAGTAAGCTGCGTAGAGTGAGTGGCGTGAGATGCGGGATGTATGTGGAGTGGGCTTAGCGAGGGCAGTGTGCAGAGAAGCAGATGCTTGCGTGCGGTGATTGGAGATGCATGGAGCGAAAGGAGCGGAGATGGGTACAGCATGGGAGTAGGGAAAGCAGAGAAATGGCAGGGGAGATGTATGGAGTCAGAGAGGCAGAGCGAGACATGGTCAGAGATAAGTATGGTGTGAGTAGCAGCATGGAGAAGTATGGATTGTGAGAGGCAGAGAGAGGCATGGTAAAGACATTATTTATTCACCACCCTGATTCGGGACAATTCGTCAAATCGCTTGGGAGAGGGATTTACATACAGTCAAGTCAACCTTTGGTCCTCCCATAATCAATAAAGTGGCGGACACTGTGGGAAATTAACAAATGGTTTCCATTAAAATAGACTTGATCCTTTCCAAAGGGATAAGAAGTCTGCACCAGTGACTCAGGGATGGAACATTAGTGGTCGGCTTGATGTTTTCTCATCTGTTTGCAGCTGCAGAGCCACTGAGCTGGCACGCACTTGCGGTGCCGTGTGCAATGTGTGTCCAGGTGAGTTTACGCCTGAGATGCAGCTACGGATGAGACAAGAACAAGAAAAGGCGAAGCCCGTTGAGCAATGGAAGGAGCGCTTCTTCGAAAACTACTACGGGGAAAAGTACGCATCCCCCCAAGTCCTCGATTTCTGTCGTGACCTCTATGCAAATCTGACCGATGGGTTACATTAAATCTTTGACTGTACATGTGGGTGTATATATAGCCGATGGAGCGGTAGCACAGTGGTTCGTGCACAATACGACCAATCCAACGATCCCAGTTCGATTCCTCGCCGCCACCAATATCGGTGGCAAATAACTGAATCGGTCCTAGGCCCTCCCTGTAAGTCAACTTTAAATGAGCGGCAGGTGCAGTTCATAAACAGCATTGGGGAGATGAATGCAGCCGGCACGCGGTTTCCAGCCCCACTACTGCCCATCGGTGCTTACCGACAGCACTTGCCCCGACAGGCCACCGCAGTCCAATTTGATGTCTTTGTATGCAGTATATGCAATTGTTTGAACGTCCGTGTATTTCTCCACGAGGTCTGGCTTAACAAAAGAAGAGTCGAGGCAGCTCGTGGAGGGACACTGCGAGTTTTACTTGAGCCCAAAGCACGAGGCCGCCTCTCCAAATAATGAAACCCCCAACGGATCGGACGAGAAGCCCGGGAGGCGATCGGGGTCCAAGACGGAAATCTACGCTGCGGTGAGGCCCCTTTGCATTCGTGATCATCCGCACGCTGTCCTTTGTGCGACGCCTAACTCGCGTGGAACCTGCTTTTTTAAAAATCCTTTATATTAAGTTCACTTGCTTGCTTGCTTGCGCGCTTACGACCGTCCAAATCTTTCGGTCGTTTTTTAACCCACTTCCCGTGATCCAATCGAGCTGACATTTTTGCACACAGACTCGTTGTGCGTGACAATTTATTTTCGTGAAAATTTTTTCCCAAAATTTAACACTTTTTAGGAAAAAATAAATTATATTTAATTACCAATTGCTTAATGGTGGCAGGCAATCATCCGACCCATAGGTGGCAGCCATCTTAAGCCAGAGGATGAGAGAGGACTCTTGCCGCCCGTTTCAAGGACCAATGTGGGCTGGGTGGTGGCCCATTGAACACGCATATAAAGGATTTATAGTGAAAAACTTTGTTTTTACGGGTTAATTTTTTACACTCATTGTGTGTCATCTACTGGATATCCGTGAAAGAGAGCTTCATAGCTCATCGGATTCGTCCAGTATAAATAAAGATTCCGATTATGTGTATTGAATTTTAAAGAGGCCTTTTTTTTTACACTTTTTTAGGTAAATACAGGTGTTAAGATTTTAAAACATCAAAGAAACCTATTACAGTGCATCATATTTCAGCGTAACCACACATACTTGTGGCAAAAACGCAAATAAATATGCTCTGATAATGTATGCACTGTCCTTGAAATTGATTGGCCTCCACCAGAGACAGCCTCTTTATGGCATTGTCTCACTCATCAGTGCTCGAGCAAACGCCGCCAAAAAATGAGCAGTACAAGGACAATACAAACACCAATGCATGAATTGCTCGCGTAGCTAGCTATTCACTGTGTGTATTAATGATGACGTTTGTAAGAATTTTGTTTCTTGAAAACTTTCTTGTGAAGTATAATGGATGTATCTTCTTGGTTCTTTCGGTAAAGTCACGTAGAAGGGAAGCAATAAAATAATAAAAATAAAACATAATAAAATAAAATAATTCTCACGACGTTTCGGCCACAACGCAAGCAGCCGTCAGGACGGCTGCTTGCGTTGTGGCCGAAACGTCAGGACGGCTGCTTGCGTTGTGGCCGAAACGTCGTGAGAATTATTTTATTTTATTATGTTTTATTTTTATTATTTTATTGCTTCCCTTCTACGTGACTTTACCGAAAGAACCAAGAAGATGGATCCCTGCAGTCACGAAAGCTTTAAATCGAAATATAATGGATGTGTCTGTGTGCGTGCGTTCCTCCACGGGTGGATTGCTTGTGGCGTGCACATGCTCGCTGCTCGCCCACCCGCGCAGAACTCTGCGCTGCCGCTGTGGAAGGCGCTGGGCTTTGTGAAGGAGCCTCCGTGGATGGTCGGCGGGCCCCTGGTCGCCTGGCTGCAGAAGCTGTGGCAAGAGCAGCCGCCCCCTCTCAACGGCCGCTCCCTGCGCAGGACCTCCGAGAGACGGTCCGAGGCGAAAAACGACTGCAAGGCGAGCACCGCTGCCCCGGCGCTGGGCAAACTGGCCGCCTGCGACGAAGGCCGGCCGACGAGGTTGCCGGCGAGACGGAAACGGACGTCGGAAGCGAGCGGCGAGTCGACGAGGTCGCACGCGAAGGTCAGGCTGACGAGGTCTTCGGCACTTGCCGAGGAAATGGATAGGACGCTTTCGCAGCCGCCACTGGCAAGGACACCGGAGGGATTTGCGCCCGGCAACAACAGGGTGGCGGCGTTTGCAAAGAGGAGCAGGGACAGCCCGGCGGCGATGGTGCCACCGCAGAACCACCTGGTGGCTCTGATGTCGCCGCACGAGAACCCGCACAGCGCTCACGGCCGCCCGCACCCCGCGCTCATCTGGGAGGCGAGCGAGGCGCAAGCGCCGGCCCACAGCATCATCAGGTGAGTGTCTGGGCATGCGAACAATCCGGCCACATCCTACACGAGCTATGTGCTCGGTACTCTCCAGTTCAAGCTGGCATATTGTAACCCACCGTATGAACATTTTTTTATTATCGTTACGTAAATAGGGCTACTGTAACAGAAAATAAAAGTTTGTCTTCACCAAGTGAACATGGGAATGGATCTTTGAGGGGACTGTCGGTGGTCAGTGTGTTCACCGCCAAGTAGTTCAACCACCCATTGTATTTCGATGCTGTATTTAACTCGCATTGAATATCACGTTGCGTTTCACTGCCCTCCCTCTCTGGTGTCCAATATTTGCTGCTACTTGCGCACCTATTCGCAGCTGCCAAGATGGCAAACGTAATGTGACGTCCTCCGACAGCAGCAGCAGCAGCAGTTCAACTCTGGACATGGCAGCACGCAGACCAGACCCACAGTGCGAGAAAGACAGAGTCCAGCAGCAGCTGCAGCAGCAGCTGCACCAGCAGCAGCTGCACCAGCAGCAGCAGCTACAGCAGCTGCACCAGCAGCAGCAGCTGCAGCAGCTGCAACAGCAGCTGCACCAGCAGCAGCAGCTGCACCAGCAACAGCAGCTGCACCAGCACCTGCAGCTGCACCAACTGCAGTTGCAGCAGCTGCAGTTGCAGCAGCAGCAGCCACCGCCAGCGAGGCGAGCACGCAAGCAGCGCATGGACGCCCAGAGGCAGCTGAAGGACCTTGATGCACAAGAGGACGGAGAAGTCCGTCTGGAAGACGGGGAGGTGGAGGAGGGGCGACGACGCATCCTCAGCAAAATATGGCAGGGCCTCCAAGGAGCTTGGCCTCATCCACTGCCGCTGCAACAGACTTTGCTGCTGCCCCCACTGCCACAGCCGCCGCTGCCGCCACCACCACCACCGAATCCGCAGCAGACGCAGAACTTTTTAGTGCTGTTGGAACATAATTACTGTCGGCCGGCCTCATGACCAGCGTGCAAGTCGTGACGGTGCGGTTCCGACGTGAGACGGGGGGGGGGGACGCTTTACGAGAAGAGGGATTCGACACAGCTCACAGGAGGAGTGGAGTTTCAGGAGAGAATCGTATGGAGTAAAACATTAACTGCATGGAAAAGTGTTTACTTTTCTAATGCTGTAATGCTCACAGGTGGCAGGGAATTTTGTTTTCTCCAGAGAATGGTTTAAAAGAAAAGTTGCTTTGGGTGTGGATGTTTGGGGATATGCAACCGTCATACCAGGAATTTTCGGAATGAAACAAACAATGTGCATTTTTCTCTGTGACAAGTCTAGGGATGCGACTGGTAATGCAAGGCACCATTAAATAGTTCTGAGTCTGGATGAATAAGATAATTTTACGTGAGATTATGATTTGTTCTTCACTTAAACAGCAGCTCGGTAAAATTAGGGCCCAACACCTTACAACAGCAATATGTTATAGCAGCAACCTAGAAACAATATGCAGGCTTGTAGTGTGAGAAAACCTCTTTGGTGTTGTGTAACAGTGGAACCTGTTTTCTTGAAATCTAACATTTCCATGCCAATTCATCTCTGGGCAAATAAGGCCCAGCTATTTTTTGTTGAAAATTCACAATGTTGTGCATAAGAGGTCAAACATTAGCGTAGTTCATCACACACGCGAAGGAAGATATATATATTTGTTTTGAAAACATGAGAGAGAGAGAGAAGCACTAGCAGCCTGCAGCTTTAAGTGTAGCTGTACAAATACCAACCAACAGCAATTGGTCAAATATCTGGGGGGGGGGGGGGGCAAACCAAGGCAGGCGCCAAAACAGAACTTGTGCAAATATATGCACGACATGCAGCAAACAATGCATCATTTGTGATGCCCGTGCCCACAGTTGCCTCTGCATATGGCTGGGTGGTGAGCTGAAGGCTCTCTGGACAGGAATGTGGGTATGGTGCAGAAGGTGCATCACAATATCATGTTTTCTATTTGTTGTGCATGTATGTGCGTAATGTGCCACGTGTGCATATGTAGTCTTCTGCACTCCAGATGGTTATTGGCAACACTGGCAATGGCACATGAGCTTTACGCTTAACAAATTTTAGTGTAAAAGTCCTTTTGATGCTCTTAGAATGTTTTATTTAATCTTGAAGACATCAGCTTGAAGCTCACATTTCGGGGAGTAGAAAAGGATGGGGCTAGTGACTGTGTCATGCTCACCTTGGAGCGAGTTTCAAGTGAGCAGCGCACGGTCTAATCTCCCAACAGCTGCTAAGTTACTTTCTTGTTCTCAAGAAATTTCCAAAATGCACAATGTGCTGTAAACTGGATGTCAAAAGTAACCAGGTGGTATCATACAAATCCCAAATGTTGAAATATTATATTTAATTTGCACATCATAGCATTAGATATGCAAGGCCGACTGATCCGCTCAACGGCTGTGGTCAGTCTTGAGCCGCGGGGGGAGAGAGCACCTTTCTAGGTGACTCGCACAACCACCCAGACCCATTTCACAGCACTTTGTATCAATGAATGGGTTTTGTTTAATATTGCCTTTTTTGATTTCCTGTGTTGCAGTTTCACTCACGTGGTAATTTTTTTTAAAGTTAACAGAACTTCAAATTGTTCGTTTTGGTCAATTGAGTTAATTTTCAGGTCATGGAATCATTTCGGTGTGTATTGACATTGAGATGGAAGGTAATTTCCTAATTTGCCCTCATAATTTGTATTAATTGAATGGACACATTTTACAACGGAAGATAAAAACAAATGGAATCATTAATTATTCTTAGTTTTTTTTGTTTCTAGGAGCTGCTTTACGTCAAATTTTCTTCAAAAGCTCTTACGTTATGGAACATTTACTGTAGTTATAATTGGATTTGTGGTTTTACTTCAGGAACCTGGCAACGTGGGTGAAATCACACGCGTTTGTTTTAAAAGTAAAGTTGTACGACTTGTTATGCACGTTTCAGGTTTTTAACTAAACGTGTGTTCCTTGTTGATTTGCATTGGGTGATGTAAACCAATGTCGCTTCTCAATAACAACATTAAAAGTACTTTGTAGGCTGGAGCGTTAACAGTTGCCACCACATTCTTTGGACAAAATGGAAGGTTTATGAAATGTACAAATGCATACTTGTAGATACGTAGTTTGGTTGCTGGGTGTTTTTGTACAGATTTTACGACACAGTTTACGTTGAGAGCTTGCAGCCGAGAATTGTGTACTTACATGGATAAATTAGGAGGCCGCCACCCACTTGGATAGAACCACAGTCTAAAAAGGTGAGCGTACACGATGCCATTAGTTTCTCAAGTCTAGTGCAATATTTAAGGAACTGACAGAAACTCGCAACAGCATTCACATTTGGGCCGACGTCCGATTGCATACGATGACGCGGCTGGTTAGTTGCCAGCGTCGATTTTAAAATCTACAGTAATTGCTTTTAATAACCTTTTGGTCATGCACGTGGACAGCGGAAATATACATTGAAGAAGTTTATTTTGCTTGAAAGATAAAACATATATATGTAAACCTCAAGTTGAAACTATTTACGCGTGTTATTTTTTTTGTTCCCGGAGTACGTTATATCCCCAGTGTACTTATTTTAATGCCAATTTTGTCGTGAACAAACCTCAAAGTGTTACAGATGCTCACAAAACCTCAGGTCTGAAAAATACGTAGGGCTCAATGTGTACCTTGTCAAATATAATAGCACACTGTAAGTTATTATCCCTGCCTAATTTAGATCAGGTTTAATTTAGCCTTAGAATAGTAAAATACAAACAGTTCTTATTTTTGTTAGTTGATGTCCAGACTTGTTAAGATATCCAGAACACCCTAATAAGGAGTATGTTGTTTAAAATTGTAAAATATAAACGTCAAATTTTTGTTTAATATTCCTGAAATAAATTTGAACCTTTTAAAAAAAAAAACGTTGTTATGCTTTTAAAGTGCAGTTTTGGAATATTGACTTAAGCTGGCTCTCATTTATTCAATTACTACTTCATTGAAGGCTGTCTTTGCTGATTTCTTTTTTCATTTTTACCTGCGATTAGACACTATCAACTACTCCAAAAAATTTATTTTTGCGCAAAAAAATACATTGTCTACGACTTTATTAAACTTAGATTTAAAGACGTACCCATCCGAAACCGCTCAATTTCAAGATTCCTTGCTTTTTTATTAGAACAAATGAATGAACTTAATACTCTGAGAGGAGTTCACCACGTTGGCTTGAGGGGAAGCGCTTGTTTTTTTTTTACCGTTTTCGAATTCAGATTTGAACACCATGAAATGAGTGTTTTTTTTCGTTCAAAACCGCTTGAAATCCGAAATATCTCAAAAACAATAAAAGGTAGAACAATGATTCTCGCTTTAATCTTATTTGCTATTTAACGCTCTTATCAAACGAAAAAACCCCGCAATCTCATGTTTTGAACGGTTTATGAATGACACGCACAAACATGTTTAATGGGGCACTTAAAATCCATATTTGGGGGGGGGGGGGGTCTTAAAATGAAAATTTTCGGATTTTCAGATTGTTCCTGTTTGTGTATCAAATTTCAGCTTTCTACCTTGTCGAGAAGTACCCTCGATGTTTTTGAGATATACAGCTTAAGGTCTTGATCTAGATCAGTGAGCAGTTTTTACAGCCCATTGCTGGGAGCTACTGATAGCACACACACACAGACGTTAAGTGGTTGTGTAGCATGAAAAATCATTCATATACATTAACGTGTATGTAGGCTTTACGTGTTAAACTCCATTGGCTAAGGTTGATAAAACTAAGCAAAGCTGTTCTAAAACGCACCCTCCAGAACAATTGTGAATTATGGAAATGTATTATACAAGGTGTGTACAATTCAATGCTTGCGCACATCTCAATAGTAATCGCTATTAAACAAGGATGGGGATCTTCAGGGCCCACTACTCGAACACGGGGACAGACCTGCGATATTGTCACTCCCAAGCATTTTAGCTCTACTAATTGGGAACTAAAGGCTAATATTTTCAACCTCGAAACATCGTTTCAAATTTTTGTTGCGCGCTCGCGGGTCACTTCTGTCGCCATGAGGTCCTCTTACAGTCGGGGGCCCCCTTGCATTGTGACGGAGTGAACGAGGAGTGTGTTAATGCGTGACCCTGCCAAGGGTGATTGAAAGTCCTGTTCATCAGGAACGTGTTCTCCCCACCCATTGCTGTGACGTGTTTTGGACGCTCAGGGTTTCCCTGCATTTAGAAACAAACGTTTATTTCAGCGTTGTGGCATTTAATATCGTGTAGTTTGCATCTTTGGTGAATTATTGTTTTTATTGCTAGGGACAGGCAGCAATCGGCGATGGTCATGGTACACGTTAATAACTAACGTTACATTGTGCTTCGTGTGGCGTGCAAGAAATGTCTCTGATGTGATGACATACTCCACCAAAGGTGTGAATTCGTAAGCCGTGAACGTTCATTTTAGGGATCTTAATGTGACCGAAATGTGTGCTTTTATGGCAAATGGCCATGCTAGTAATGAGGGTAGTGTGTGTGTTTTTGTCTTTAAAGCAAAAAAAGTCTGCCAAAGCCAAGCACAGATGCCTGAGTGAATGTAAAATCGATGGCCATACAGGAAAGATTCAAACAAAACCCCAGTCTGGGAATCGCTTAAACGTGGCCTCAACTGGACATTATTTTAAATTTAAATTCTGTGCCACAATGGCTTCATCACTCATCTTAAAAAAATTGTTTTCTTAAATATTGTGGCCACATTGCGAACAAAGTAACGTGTTTTTAAGTGTTAAAAACATTGCAATCGGTACAAAAGAATTTGTTGATAACCTTAAAATGAATTAAATTTAGCAAAAGGCATTCAAATTCAATTTCACGATGTCGGGTCACGATTTGATTTTTGTTTTGTTTTTACCGTCTCATTTGTATTCGTTCTCGTTGTGCCTCGTTTGTACAGTCTCATTTACTTGCATAGACTAAATGTAATATCAACATAGCTTTAGCGTGTAGATTTTATTGTCGATCATTACGCGCGTGATTCAATGCAAGCATCGCGAGCGTAAGAATTTATATTAATCGATGAATCACAACATACCCATTTGGAATAAATGGTAACACCTATGCTAATATACATCTGAAAATATGCAACATGAATTGCTGCAATGAGCCCTACATCTTATCAGTCAGAGTGATTGTGAGCTCGTAATTATAAGCAACATATTACCGTAAGAAATACATGTGCAACTAAAACCGGCTGTGCTGAATACCTGTAAGCTTATAATGAAGGCGTGTATAAAGGTTGCTTAGACGCTAACGTTATATTTAGTATGGAGTGGAACAATGCATTGATTCATGCGCGATACATGCATCGAATCACACGTGTAGGAATCAATGTATTTAGATTATTGTGAAAGATAATTGGTTACATGACCCCTGAAGCAACTAAAGCCGGTTACATCCATCGTAATGTCAAACAAAACATATTCTTGAACCCAATTCACCACCGTGAATTATGAATGGGGTGGTGAATCGTTTTAGCCTCAAAGCTTAGTATACACGTTAAATTGTTTGACAAATTCCAAAAGTCTTTGAGAGAATAAAAACAACCTTCTGCACTTGATGTATGAAACGCACGCAGTTTTCCCATTGGTTGACTCTTTTCGGATTCGTTTCCTTTAGATTTGCTTTTGAGTTCAACTTCGATCTGTGGTTGATAAATGAATGTATACAAAAAGGTGGTCATAATGTTTTGACGAGATTAAAATACACAGACTTGGTGATTACCTATACGTCGTCAATACAGAAACATGTAACAGTGCACTTATTCTGCTGTTAATCAATCAGTACTGGACAGTACTTGGTCTTTTGGATGAGAGACCTGGGGTTGCAATGGGAAAGCTCAAAACTTGGACTGGTTACTAAACAGCGGGGATTTAAAATATGCGTAGTGCCAGGATGGATGTGGCTATTTGTGTATTCTTATTCTCAAAACGTCTTTACCGCCTTTCTCATGCTGTGTATATATGTACAAAACTTATACTGTATTGTATACAGTAGATTATGTATATGCAGTACATGTATATAAATGATATACCTTACAACACGTACAGAATGCGTCTTAAACTTTAATTTGACATGTATGTCTCAATAGGCCATTACAAACACATATACTAACAATTTAATATTTCAATTAAAATAAAGTCATGCAACATTCATTCACTTGGCTTCATAATGTATTTAAAGGAAACAACGGAAGTGCATTTAAGGGCATATTTAAATTAAGAATAAATAAATTACAAATTAGATTTACAATTCTGTACAAAAGACACTTGGATATTTCATGACATTTAAAGCATACCATGTTTAGTTAATGTCAGTAACTATGGCACTATATTATTCGCAGGCATAATTTGTGGGTCTTTTGGCAGACGTGGGGTTAAGCCTAATCGGGGTCACTTTTGGTAAACAAAAACCATTTCAATCTGCCCGACATGTCCACTTCTTGCACTAACCCTTCCTGTTCACTGCACTGTGCACAAACTGTTAACGCTGAGCCTTGTACATTTTCATCTCTCAACAATTAACGTAATAATGTATATCTTGTAAAAAAAAAGAGAGCCCGTTGTAGCATTTGTTTGTTATACTGGACCCAGTTGTTTTATACACGTGTACACAATTGAGTGGGGTTACGTCTTGGTTATATAGGTTTATGTATATAAAATCAATAAATGACCCATTGTACAGTTGCATACGATGAAATAAAACTCTTCTGTCTCATTGTGACTGAATATGGCTAGTTATTTTTCTAAATGTTCATTTGGAACCTTCTTTGCCATGCCCATGATATTCACGTGTTCGCAGTTCCTGCATCGCATTGCGTGCGTGGGAAATAATATATAATAAATAATAGAACGGAGGTTGCAGAAACTATTGTAATCATAAGTAACAGCAGACAACGCATTCAAACATATCAACAAAAAAATTACATCCCATCAACCACATGGTCTTTTGAAAGTGCATCTTAACAGCATTGATTAGTTCAGTACTCGCAAACTTGACTGGTTTCGAAATAAAATCAATAAGTCACAGTGTCTTTATCAGCAGAGTAAAACATGCTGGTTGCTACCATAATTATATTTATACTGGAGGAATCCGATGAGCTTTAAATCTTTTTTTAAACAGATGTCCAGTAGTTTTCACAAATGGTTTGACCCAGACAGTTCGTGAATTGGTGTCTTGTTTGGAAGTGGCAGTAATTGGTTTGCACGAGGATCTGGTGGCGTTGTGTTGAACCTTTACGACAGTCGACTGCACAGTTTTGATATAAGTAAACCCGTTAAAAACAAAGTTTTTCACTCTAAATCCTTTATATGCGTGGCAGCTAGAGTCCTCTCGTCCTCTGGCTTGAGATGGCTGCCACCTATGGGTCAGATGATTGTCTGCAGTATTAAACAATTGGTAATTAAATATAATATTTTTGTCCTATAAAGTGTAAAATTTTGGAAACATTTTTTCACGAACATTAATTGTCACGCACAACGAGTCTGTGTGGAAAATGTCAACTCGATTGGATCACGGGGGAAGTGGGTTAAAAAACGACCGAAAGATTTACACGGTCGTAAGCAAGCAAGCAAGCACGCAAGCAAGCAAGCGAACTTAATATAAAGGATTTAAAAAATAGGCTGATTTATAAAGGTGCTAGTTTTGTATGTTGGAAAGGTTATAAGGCGAGCTTAACTTGGTTAATGCAAATTATACGTTCATTCGGCATGTAACTATTAATCCATTAAACATGACTATTTTAACGACACAATCGTATGTGCACGATTGAAAGAAAATAACATGCTGTTACATTTACAGTAAATGACCAAACAAAACTATAACAAGGCAAATAGTAAAACCAAAGGAATCGATTTCTTGATTCGGGTGCTTTATTCAATTTTGTTTTATTTTAAAAAATGTGAGAACAAAAGCGATAACATAAAATCAGTGAAAAAAATATAAATGGGAGTAATAGAACAACCGCGTTACGCTAGAAATCGAAAAATAATGCACCAGCGTTCGTCAACACGTAAAATGTATTTCCATTGATTCCCGATAACTTAAGGGCCGTCCATAAATGACGTCACGCACGGAGGAGGGGGGGGGATCAGACATTTGTGACGATGTGTGACGAGGGGGGGGGGTGAGAAATGTGACGTCACATCAAAATGCGAACTTTAAATATGAACAAAATATAATTGTATAACACTCATTTTGATGAATTTTCATTATGAACTATTTTATTATTAAAATTTACTAAGGTCACCTTTTATTTATCCCATGAAGGAGCATTTTGCTTCTCCATGGGAGAATGAAGAAGCATACATGTTGTCAATTGTTATAATGTTATTAAACATTTTAATTCTAATGATTCTACGAGGGCTTTTCATACTGTGGAATGAATATGTGATTGTTATAAGCGTGCTACTACAAAGTTTCAAATATTTTTTTATAGCTACAATTACTTTTAATATTTTATAATTATAAGACAATTTCAATATAATATTCTGAACATCTGCAGTTTTAGTTAGACGTTTAATATTTTCACGTTAATTTTATGCTAAATGTTAGCTTTCCAACGCCTCCTTTTTAATAAATGTTTTCTCCTACAACATCAGAGTGCAGCGCCACATTAAATACGCACTACAATGACAATAGTTTAAAGTGGAGCGGGGCAGAGCTTTGTGACGTCATATCTGACTTTGTGACGCCACGTGACGAGGGGGGGAGGGTAAAAAATCGGCCAAAATCGCATGACGTCATTTATGGACGGCCCCTTAAGGCAAATAAAACGCATGACACTGACCAAACGGTACAATACAAACGAAATAAAAAAAATGTCTATTTTTAAATCCTTTATATTAAGTTCGCTTGCTTGCTTAGGACCGTTCAAATCTTTCGGTCGTTTTTTAACCCACTTCCCGTGATCCAATCGAGCTGACATTTTGCACACAGACTCGTTGTGCGTGACAATTAATGTTCGTGAATTTTTTTTCCAAAATTTTACACTTTATAGGACAAAAATATTATATTTAATTACCAATTGCTTAATGGTGCAATGCAATCATCTGACCCATAGGTGGCAGCCATCTCAAGCCAGAGGACGAGAGGACTCTAGCCGCCACGCATATAAAGGATTTAGAGTGAAAAACTTTGTTTTTACGGGTTAATTTTTTAAGTGTCAAACAAACGTAAACGTCACCATGTTCCCACGGCGATGATGTTAGCACTTAGCACGGACTCCGCACGTTCTTACGTTCCCGCGGTAAAATGACGTCACCGCCTTACCCCGCACGCCACCACTTAAGAACACGTTCGCGTGACGTCACCACATTGTAACCGTAATGACGACAATGATGACGTCATCCGCACGTACATTCGCATTCGTCACCGCGTCAACACAGTTCTGGCGGCGATGACGTCACACCCACCGGGGGCGAGGCAGCGGGTGGGGGGGAAGGTGTGACGCCTACGTCACGGCAAGCCCCCCCCCCTCCACCTCACCCCTTCGCTCAACGTCACCGCGTATTCGTGACGTCACCGCGTATTCGTGACGTCACCACGCTTCACGGATAGTGGGTGGGGGGGCAACGGTAAGGTGGCGGGAACGTGCCGGCGCCGTGACGTCACGGCACAGGCGTGTGACGCGATGACGTCGCGGCACACGACGACGCGATGACGTCACCGCGGCACACGACGACGTGCGACGTGGTGACGTCACGGCACACGACGACGTGCGACGCGGTGACGTCACCGCGTGAACGCCGACGCCGCCGAATCGTGAACTCCCGTCGACGTGGCCACGCGGAGGCGGCGGCGGCGATGAGAAGAAGCAGCAGCAACAGCAGAAGCAGCAGCAGCAGAAGAAGCAGCAGCAGTAGCAGAAGCAGCAGCAGCAGAGGGGGGTGACCGCGAGAGTGCGGCAAGGTTGGCGGTGGCGGTGGAGGAGGTTTCTAGGAGGCCGGGCTTCTATCTTGTTTGTCTGCAGGCTGACGTGAGGTGAGGGGAGAGAGAGACACACACCAAGACTTCGGCTGGTTCGTGGCGACGGTAACAAGCAAAGTCATTAATGGCAATGTCCAGTGCTGTGTCTTTTTCAGCAATATTTTGCTGTCTTTGGATTTTTTAAGATGTTTTTTGTTCATGTTTTTGTTTTTCGTTTTGTTGTGGTTGCACCCGATTCGAGAGCCGAATGGCTCACAGGGCTATACCTCATAAATGAACTTGTCTTCAAAGACGTTTGGTTGGCGTGGAAGAGTAGGCCGAGTACACTTTAAGCAGTGTCCGTGACCAAGCGATTGTGCAGAGCCACGCAATTTTTTCTACGTTTTTTTTTCTTTAAAGCTTTATTTGTGGATTCGGTGACTTGCCTTGGGCCGTGTGTGTGTGTCTTCCCCGGGGCTGCCAGGATCGAGCCTGAAACGTCGGTCAAGGATAGAGAAGAAGGTTTGGGGGGGGGGTAAAATGACTTTAAAAGCCACAACAGCGTCCTTGTGACGTCATCGCGCCTGTGACGTCAGCGCGCGGAGGCCGTGGTGCGTTCGTTTCGACGTCAAACTCGGGCAATTTTAATACTTCATAATAAAGGGTTTTTGGGTTCTATCGCGTTATTACTTATAAATGTGTCGTAACCCTCCACCACCAGACACGGCCAATCAGTCAAAAAAAGTGTCACGTTGACAAAAGACATTACAACTTTAGCCCACCTGTGCTTTGAGTGAATTCACAACATTTATAACTAACGCGATCTAACCCCAAAAAAAGCTTTATTATGAATAATATTGTTCGCGAAAGCCTACGTGTTAAATTTTAATTATCTCATTCGGTATATTTTTGGTTCTTTCGGTAAAGTCACGTAGAAGGGAAATAATAAAATAATAAAAATATAAAACAATAAAATTCTCACGACATTTCGACTGCAACACAAGCAATCATCATCAGGTGTGAAATCCACAACAATAAATCAAATTTTATCTCATTAGGTGTAAAAAAATAATCTAAATCTTAACGAAAAATAACAATTCATTTATTTTATTATTTTTTTACCTCCGTGACTTTACCGAAAAAACCTAAGAATATGAATCCTTGCAGTCACGAAAGCTTCAAATCTAGAATTAGGCTCCCTCCTCTCTGAGCATCTCGCGAGGCAAATCACGTGCAAGCCTCCTCGTCGTCGTCGTTATAAATCCACTGCTGGATTGACCGGCCACGCCGCACGGGTCGGTTAAGGTTAACTTGTGACGGCGGAAACAATAAGAGGACAGAGCATATTAAATACCTACAATACGACGAATTCTATTCTGACATGACTTAAAATGATTGTAAGCAGAGGACGTTTTTTTTTTATTATTACATTATTCTATATTAACTTTCTTTTCACCACGTGTTTTATTGGAACACCATTGTTCATATATTAACCGGTGAACTTGTTAAATGCGAATATACCCGTTGATTGGGACCCTTTTGACTTGATGGTGAGGTTTGGTTGGGTAACGTTACTTGCAATGCCGACATTGGATTGTGCTCAGCTTGGCCACGTCCCAGAACAGCTCCCTCTTGGCCGCTCGAGGCTGATGCTCTGGACATGTGGCTCAGCGCGAGCATTTCAGGGCTTTACGAGTGCGCATGTGTGGACTGTTGAGTGTCAACAACTTCTTCTTGGTTCTTTCGGTAAAGTCACGTAGAAGGGAAATAATAAAATAATAAAAATTAAACATCATAAAATAATTCTCACGACGTTTCGGCCACAACGCAAGCAGCCGTCCTCAGGTGAAGAACAGGTCTGTCGGAAAGACGGCGTCTGAAATTCAGAAATTCTGTTGGAAAGACAGCGTCTGAAATTCAGAAATTCAGACGCTGTCTTTCCGACAGACCTGTTCTTCACCTGAGGACGGCTGCTTGCGTTGTGGCCGAAACGTCGTGAGAATTATTTTATTATGTTTAATTTTTATTATTTTATTATTTCCCTTCTACGTGACTTTACCGAAAGAACCAAGAAGATGAATCCCTGCAGTCACGAAAGCTTTAAATCGAAATGTCAACAACTTGTACAGTACACTATATGCAATCTCTTCATTGGTTCAGCCACGGAGGCGAGATGTTGTCTCCGTCGCCTGGTTTGCAGGAGGAATATATAAGTTCGATCCCGACCCTGACGATGCCTGTATTATATTTGGAGTTTTGCGTGTTCTCGCAGTCGCGTTACGCGTGGATTTATCTCTGGGTCCTCTGGTTTTTCACCTCCACGTTTAGATACATGCGTTTAGTTTAGATTATTTGGCGACTATAAATTCCCTTGTGATATAAGCCATTTCGACGAGTGACCACGTGTGGGCAGGTCGCCTCTGAAAAAGAGCTAATAGCTCAAAGGGCTGTACCTGGAATAATAAAAAAAGGAGTTAAGTTAGTGTATACAGTAGTTTTCAAGTGCAAAATAATGTCAAGTGTACGCAGCCAGAGATCTTAAGATATCACTCGATGAAAGTCAGTTGAGGTGGATTCCTTCATGTCTGTTGACATTATCACCGGATGCTGTTTAACATAATACACTGGGCATGCCCACTTGATATTGTATAATCAGTGTTTCTTTTGGTTTGACAAAGTGTTTTTATGTATTTACACTTGTTTTTTTTAGAAACAAACGAAACTTGCAGCTTGAAGGATGGAGGGAGATGAGAGTAAGGTGGACGCTGCTGAGGAGGAGGTTGCAGAAACTGTGGACGTGGAAATGAGTGCCGTTGTGAGCGGCACGGAGGCAGGAGCAGAACCAGTGGTACTCCTACACCATTCTCGGCATTGTGGCATTTCCATAGAGAAGGAGGTCCTGCATATAAATTGTGACGGAGTGGAAGGCTTGTCTCTGTGATCACATTTCATTCTTTTGATCAGACCCTCAATGTTCAATTCCAAGATATTAGGTTTGAATAGAATGTGTATTCTGATGTGATGATCAAAGCCCTACATGTTAAGATTTTCACATCATTTATAAATATAACATATCTGAGGCCCTTCTGTTGTTACCCATGCCTTCCTTTGATAACCTATCATGCCTTCGTGATTAACAAAAAATGACTTCATTGATGATAATCATCATCAATTGTGTTCTTTCAGGCAGAAGATTCCAGCTCCACAGGTAGCGGAGAGGACGAGCCTGTGTCAGCCAACCCTGATGGTGTGGATGCCAAGGAGGTTGTCAAGGAGGATGTCAAGGAGGTTGTCAAGGAGGATGTCAAGGAGGATGTCAAGGAGGTTGTCAAGGAGGATGTCAAGGAGGTTGCCAAGGAGGTTGCCAAGGAGGTTGCCGAGGAGGTTGCCAAGGAGATTGCCAGGGAGGATATCAAGGAGGATGTCAAGAAGGATGCAAAAGAAGATGCAAAGGAAGAGGCCAAGGATGATTCCAAGAAGGATGCCCTGAGCACAGCCGACACCAGCGAGGGTCCAGGAGAGACCCAGACAGCTCAGCCCGCCACGCGGAAACGACCAGAACCCAAGCCGGGTTCCCCTTCCCCCGTGGAACCAGACACCCAACCACAGCCACCACAAGAGGTGCCTGGCATTGTCGGATATCCGTCATAATTCCCATTATGGCCTAATCAGTTTTGCATGTTTGGAACATGCACCGGCAGTGTATTTTTGAACGCCCGCTGACGGAAGAGCAGCCATGATCGAGAACCAGTAATGTGAGAAGATCTTAATGTCTGAGTGTCCGTGTCTTTTTTTTTATTTGCACAGGTTATCTCTAAAAGATGACTTTGAATATTCTCAGCCTTCTTGTGAGCTCTCGCATGTATTTTACTATCAGTACAGTTGAGACATCGATCGTGTCCTGATAATTGTTTTGTGTGGGAAAACTAAATTCGACTCACCAGCTCACATCGTCTTAACCTTATAATGTGTGTCACAAATCTCAAAATTTCTATCATCGTAGCATTGCATTTTTGCTCGTTCTTTGCAGGCATTAGCTGGATGTATGTTGAACGTCTTACGTACTGTGCGAAATAAGTTTAACGTACACACGACCCACAGAATGAATGAATTTGCTGGTGGCTGTGATTTGTTGGTTAGGCTTCTCAAGGAGGGGGCTGGGGGTCGTGGGGCAGCTGGGGAAAATCCCTTCTTACCTCCGCAACTGCAACAGTCTCCTCCGTTGGTGAGTCTCGCGTTATTTTCACAACGTGCACATTTACACCATTTGCATCCAATGTGTGATTTTTTTCAGCAAATATCGTTGAACGTTTCTAGCGGTTTCCTCTAAGTTTTGAAATTTTAGTAGAAAAATAGTTTGAACTAAATAAAAAATAAGCGTAAAAATGCACTTCATTTAAACCATAAAAGAGTATCCACTTGAAAATAAGATAATTGCCAATTTTAACAAGTTTCAGATGAGTGTAATTATTATTTTTAACTTCAAGGTAAGTAATCCAAGCAGGAAGGGAGTGGTGTCATTACCTTTGTGATGCACTTTAGATAAATGGTCAACTGTGTAAATCATAGGGGAAACAAATATCCATACAAGCAAATGAAGGGTATGAGTCTGACATTTCGTGTTTTATGTGACTTTACTCCTGCGCTTGTTGCCGTACCTGTAGGCCATGGAATAACACACGTCATGGAGAAAGCCGAAGCTTCTCTGGGCATCCCAACACCGGCTGATCTTTCGGCAGATCAGAAGCAGGCCGAGGATGCTGCAGTGGAGACCACCACCCCACCAAATGAGTCAGGTACCTCGACAAGGAATGTGCTGACTTGCACCATGAGTTCAGTACCATATGTGTCATATGTCACCGTGTGTTGGCCTGTGCATTGACCTACATATTTAATTGTTTTACTCCTGCCAAACCCATAAGAAGTTTGAACTCCTTGGGTTTTCTTACAGCGACGGAGGCAAGCGGCAGCCCTGTGGTGGAAGGGCAAGGAAAACCAGTTTCACCGACGGGTGGGGCGTTCGGCATGCTGTCTAAATACGGTGGCATGACTGCATCCGCGATTACAAATGCTGTGCAGAATACGGTAGCTCATCTCATTTGAAATCCACATCGGTGCATTTTTACACGCCTTGCATTTAGCCCATTGACCGTGTTCAAAATCACGACTCCTTTCTCCACGTGTTGGTGTAGAGCAAGACCGTCATCACTGGTGGCCTCGATGCACTTGAGCTGATTGGCAAGAAGACGATGGACATCTTGGCGGAGGGGGATCCTGGCTTTCGGCGTACAAAGGGTCTTCTGCACAAGACGACCACCCTCTCTCAGGTCAGAGACTCACAGGTGGATGTTGTGGAGGTACTGGCCAGTTGTGGTTAAGCAGTGCCTCATAAATGAAAACTGTAAACATTTTATTAAAACTATAAACTATTTAATTTAATTAGGTAAGGCTCTCACTGAGCTATATAAAACAGAACATAAAAGGTTAAAAAATATTTTTTTTTTCAGAAGTGACCTGGCCACAAATGATAGTTCAACGAAGTGGCTTATCATTTGGAAATGTATAGCAGCCAAACACTCGTTAGCGCATGTTTCTCAATGTGTCGGGAACAACCGGAGGACGTGGAGAACAATCCACACGACCAAGGGGAGAACATGCAAACTCCAAATATACAGGATTCAGGGTCGGGATGGAACCCACGCCCTCCTTATTTACCAGGCGAGGTAGTTAACATCTCGCCAAAGCAGCGCTCCAAATCATCATCATGTCCTTGTGGCATGACATGGAAAAGAAAGGACACAATGGTGTTAAAGTGAGGTACAGGCAAGGATCTAACTGGATGTTTGCGTGTTTTCAAAGTGTGTTTAATTGCATTGTCATGCCATGCGGTTGACCATAGGTCCTGCGGGAGGCCAAGGAAAAGGAGGAGCAACGTCTGTCTCAGGAAGGTGCGGCCGGGGTGATTGGTGATGGGAAGAAGGCCCACTATGGCCTCCTCTTCGATGAGTTCCAGGGCTTGTCTCATCTGGAGGCCCTGGAAATACTGTCCAATGAGAGTGAGAACAAGGTACATGTGATGCAGGAGCACAGCCACTGTGCGTGTTGTGAGTGTCTGGACATTAACATTTTTAAAATATGCCTAAGAGACACCTACAACAGTTTGTACAAACGTGGTATTTTTGAGTGTGTGGTTTTATTTGTTCTACGTGGTGACATGCATATTATGCTGTTGATAAAACCTTTAAATACAGGTATCCCATGATTTATGAACGTTAAGTTTACGAAATGTTGCGTTCACACAATTGACAAATTGTGGACACTTTTCGATTCACGAAATCGAATTTCCGAAATTTCACACGGCACACGCCATGAGGTCAAACAAGAAGCACCCGGGAGGTTGCATCATCCATCCACGACAGCGTCACGGCACCCCTTCAGTGCGACAGTAATGCATTTCTATTGGCGCGTTTCATGAAAATTGTAATTTTTTTATAAATTTATTTTTATTCAATCGCTTTAATATTTATGTTCATTATTATTGTTAAATTGTGAAAAGTTATATAGCTGAATATTTATGTTAGGAGTAGAGTTGGAATGACTGTCTGAAACACATCCCCAATATTTTGTATAAATTAATGGGAAAAACCATTCCGATGTACGAAATTTTGTTCTACGCGTGTTTTTGGAAGAACGCATTCCTTTCATAAATCGACGGGGGATACCTGTACACAGTAGCATCTGCACAGACTGAGTTGTTGTATGGATTTTGTATAATTATTCGTACAGTAGAACTTATTTGCGAGTCTGTTACCTGCAACTCCTATTATCTGCGGCACCTCTGGATGTGGGACTTCCCCCCCCCCCCCGCCAACTTCCAAACTGCGGCTGCATCCCTAATGCGAAGCCAGCACTCATTTCTATTATAATTACACATGTGACCTCATTTAAGTGTCAAAAGTATGTTTCGTGATAGTGTACCAAGGACAAATCTGCATTCTATGGCTTACATGGCTTTCGGTAGTAGGACGCTTTATTTGTGGAATGTCTTGCCCCAGGCCGTTAGGGACACTCCGTCAGCCGAGGTTTTTAAGACCCGTCTGAAAACACATTTACTTTCTCTTGCATATCCATCTGCGTAGAGTTGTTTTACTCTAAGTTTTAATGTTAAGGGTTTTTACTGGGATTGTGTTGTAAAGCGCTGTGAAGCCGTGTGTGAATGGCGCTATGTGCTTTACTTACTTTGGTATCGATTGCATCTTTAAAAAACAAATCTCACGGAAATGTCTGCAAGAACTTAAAATGTCCGCTGGTGTGCGCTATGTAGGTGCAGGCCGTGATAGCGGCATTGTCGGGAGAAGACCTGGATCGCACTCGGCATGAGTTGGAGCAGATTAAATCTGCGCTCGCCCTGGAGGAGTTGGACGAAGAGGTGGAGGCCACCGACGAAAAAGGTGCTGTGGTTAGCACCCACAACCGTTTAAAATGTTTTCGTATGACATGGGACTGACTTTCAGTCTCAATTTTACTTATTATAGCCATCATAGTCGACACAAATCTGGAGCTGGGATGTCCCGATTGTTGAAATGATGGAGTATTGGTACGATTATTTGACTAACGCGCACTCCATATGTTTTCAGGAGAAGAGGGCCATGATTTTGTGAACGTCATAACTGAGCTCCTCTTCAGCCTTCACGTTGGGGTCACACCGGACAAACTCAACAAGGTAAACGCCTGCAGGCTGCAGGGAGTGCAGAACGCGTTCAAAGTGATGCCGACGTTGGTTTGTAAAATAAGATGCACACACCTGAGTGGTAAAATTCTCGCGTGTGACTCAGGCGAGAGAAAAAGCGGACACCTGGCTGAGGGAAGTGGGCGAGGAGACTCTGAAGGAGGAGGAGGAGGAGAAGAATGCGGAGGAGAGCCCGAAACAGAAGAAAACCGTGCAGGCAATAATAAGAAACCGACACGAGACAATTAACATTAACACACACACAGTAATAGAAGTGCCACTTTAGTAAACTTGATAAAAGTAGAAGAATCGGCATTGTTGGTGCAGTGCCACGCTAACGTGTAGCCAAACGACGCCTGGCAAATGTCTTGTGCACACGCATCGCATGCAGTCATAATTTCGTCAACGAAATTACTGATGAAGGTTATTTGTCAACAAAGTGTGTTTTGTTTTTATCCAACGATGTCTGAGTGGACAAATCCTCAAGCATGATGATGACTAACACCCAAGCGTAACTGACTTTGACGAGATGACTGGTGAAATTAGCGAGTCTGTATGAAAACATAGACTAAGATAATTTTGTTTATGTAATTCGAGACTGCAGTGCACAGAGGAAGACTGATAATGGTAATTTGCTATATATGTCGGAAATAATTTTTACTCTGATCACTGCCTGTGTGACCTGATAAAACAGGGGTGAGGGGGAGGAAGCACGTACCCCTAACGCCCATATTTATTAACCAAGGGTGGACTAACATTTTGACTGCTTTAGATATTTCGATTTAAAGCTTTCGTGACTGCAGGGATTCATCTTCTTGGTTCTTTCGGTAAAGTCGCGTAGAAGGGAAATAATAAAATAAAAAATATATTTCTTATGCTTTATTTTATTATTTCCCTTCTACGTGACTTTACCGAAAGAACCAAGAAGATGCTTTAGATATATAAGCGAATGGCTAAATCAAAGCTACAGACGCCTAAAAAACTGGACTCAAAATGCCACAGCTTATCATCAACTAGCCTATCCCTATGACCGAGACAAAGCATGCCGGCTCAATTAACGCTTATTGCACCAATGGCTACGGCCCTGGGTGTTGCAGGACATCCATGGCTTGTGCATCGAGAGCCTGGCGGAGGTGACCGCTCGCTCCATAGAGCAGTTCCACAAGGCCGGGGAGCTCATCCTGCACGGCACGGAGCAGGAGCACACAGCCCTGCAGAGGGCGCACAGCCTCACCAGGCGAGTCCACACGCCGCCACCACCCCCTTGCGTGCCTCGCGTGGCTCGACAATGTCACCGCCCCTGTGTCACCGCCCCTGTGTCGCTCGACAACACGTTCACTGCTTGTTTCAGTGCTTCGTGGTTTGAGCATTAGCGGGTTCCCTGTTTAACAATGGGGCGCGGAAGTATTAGACGCACGTACAAGCCGACTGCTTTCACGATGGACATCAAGGATTTTGTGTGTGTAGCAGGCCGCGTGTGCTGGTCCAAATTGATCAAATAGCTTTCAGATTACGCAAATTGGTCAAAACCACACTGCTGTTCCTGTGCCGGTGTTTCAGTGCCGGGACAGAAACGGCAGCACGGCCTGAGTCAACAAAACGCTGCGTGAGCTGTGTGGCTTCGTAGGATCAGCACCTACCGCTCCGTTCTCCCACTCGCCGCCTTTCCCCCACCACACTCCCTGAATGCGGGGTGGGAGTTGAGAAGCAGTCTTACTGAGCATACTTCACCGTATTGATGAGTGTGTGTTGGTGAATGCAGGGGAACATAGACATGGTAACATTGAATTACAGGACAATGGATGTTGGCTACACTGCCCTTTTCTGCGCATGCGTTGGCCTCACCGTACCTGTTATGCATTGTTGTTGCCCATCCATTCACTATCCGGGCGTATGCTGGGTGATTTGATCATTGGCCTTTACTTATAATGGTGGCAGTTGCCACCGACTCATAATTTCCCTTCAAGTCCTGAAGAAACACCGATTAAAATATCAATCAATTTACCAATTATAGTGACACATTAACAAGCTGATTTCGCCCCCTCCGTAGACCAGTATTGAACTATGGATTTCGGCGCTGTTATTTCAGATTTTTTACGAGGATTTTTAGATCTCTGGAGTCATTTAGCCCACTTAGTAACGTGTGCAATGTTGTGTACTTTCTTTGCTTCTTTCAGGACAAGTGGTGCATCTATGTCTTGGTGTGCTCACAGGAAAATATAACTGCCATTTTATTTGATTGTAGGTTAACAGTGGTCTTGTGCAAGGAGTTGTCGACGCTTTCAACAAAGTTTACAAACTGCTTGAGCACCGTTGGGGTAAGAAAACATCCCTTAAATTTCGATTTAAAGCTTTCGTGACTGCAGGGATTCATCTTCTTGGTTCTTTCGGTAAAGTCACGTAGAAGGGAAATAATAAAATAATAAAACATTTACATCATAACATACAATTCTCACGATTGTATTTTATTATGTTTTATTTCCATTATTTTATTTTTTCCCTTCTACGTGACTTTACCGAAAGAACCAAGAAGAAACATCCCTTACTTTATGAATCACACCAATCTAATAATGGATTTTATTACTTCAGCCATTGTATGACACTCCTCTCTGCCGTTTGAGTCGGTGTCCTTTATCACGATCACTCGCATTCGATGAGTAATGACTTCATCTGTCATCACAGGCTCACGAGAAGTCAGAGGTGCTGAATCCACTCATCACCAGCATTTTCTTGGAGGTAAGCTTACCCCGTGAACATGCACACAGTGTGCGATGCACCGAATGTCCAATTCACCTGTGGCTTCCAGCATATAATAGGCATTTATTGTATTCGAATACATTGTTTATAGTAATGAAGAAATTCCTATGGGAGCAAAGTCCACACGATGTTCAATTCAGCTCAATTCCGTGCTGTCTGGCCCCTTTCCTCCATCGAAGATGTGTCTTAGTCTGCCAAGAATCCTCACATCACCCCAATGTCTCTTTGATTTCCTCTTGACCTGTAGTGACATAACAAACGCTTCCTCATTTAATCGTTTGCTGCAATCATGCACCCTATAACAAGGCATTTAATTAAAAGTAGATTTAAAGAAGACGGATCGTTATGGGTGTCTAGTTTAAGGATGTGTACTCTGCCGTGGCCGATGCTTTGCCAATGCTGATCTGACGGTTGTCCAAAAACGGACAAGAATATGCATTATCTTGTGCGGAGTAATACTTTAGCAGCCTAATAGCAGCAGCCTCATGTCGGGTAGGAAAGTGCAATCACGAGTTTTTGCTCATATCTATGCTCAACATTCCGATTATTTAAAACGACTGAAGGGCTGCCTGTCAATAGCATGCAATGTCACATCACCCCAATGTCTCTTTCATTTCCTCTTGACCTGTAGTGACATAACAAACGCTTCCTCATTTAATCGTTTTGGGTACAGTAAAAGTCCTCTATTTACGTCGGGTATGCTTCCCTGGAAAACACGAGACTTTGTGCGAAACGACTTAAATATAAACTAAACTTTGTATTTTAGAAAGTAATGCCTCATTGAGTTCTATAGCTCTTTTTCAAAAGTGACTTGGCCACATATGAAAGCTCAACGAAGTGGCTTATCACGTGGAAATTTACATCAGCCAAATACTCTAAACGCACGTTGATTCTAAACGCGGAGAGAAAAACCGGAGGACCCAGGGAAAAATCCACGGGGAGACCACGCAAACTCCAAATATACAGCAGGCGTCACGGTCGGATCGAACCCACGACCTCCTGATTGCCAGGCGAGGTAGTTAACATCTTCTCGTCACCGTGATGATGATGAGAGATACACGCAAACTCCAAATATACAGCAGGCGTCACGGTCGGGATCGAACCCACGACCTGATTGCCAGGCGAGGTAGTTAACATCTCGCCACCGTGGCAGCCCTTATACCTATTTGCCGTTGACTTAAGATTATATACATTTTGGATACGTTCCTGGGGGTCATTTTTCATACTCACCAGAGATTGCTGCGGAGATTGCATGTAGAGAGAGTAGCGAAGCGTACAGTATGGCGATTTGTAAACACAGGCTTGAGCCCTTGCTCGAGGTCGCTGTGGGCGTAGCGCGCCGTCGTGGTTATGCACACGCGGCCCGTACGACTGCATTCTTTCAATTTCACGAAACAATGTAAGTGAAATTTCGATTTAAAGCTTTCGTGACTGCAGGGATTCATCTTCTTGGTTCTTTCGGTAAAGTCACGTAGAAGGGAAATAATAAAATAATTAAAAGAAAACGTAATAAAATAATTCTCACGACGTTTCGGCCACAACGCAAGCAGCCGTGAAAATGTAAGTGAATCAACGTAAATAGGAGCAATTTCTCTGAGTTGCCTGTGATGTTTTTTTTTCTTTCTCTGCCCACATCCTTTGCTATCCCCAACCTTCACCTACAATGCAGGCCTCAAACAGCACGACGTACATCCAGGATGCCTTCGCACTGTTGCTGCCCATACTACAGGTTTCTCACATTCGGCAAGATGTGGACAGTGCCTCCTCCTCCTCCTTCGCCTAAGGCTGATGATATGCTGAGTTGTAGCACAATCACTCCTGCGGTGTGCCGTCATGCCCCAAGTAAACTATAAAGGGATCAGCGGGAGTTGTGCTCTCTCGTGGACTGAACAAGAATGTGTTTGCACTCACCAGACCTTCCCAGTTCCCCTGGGTTTTTGTATCACGTCTTGATGCATCGCAAAAAGATTGGCTATCAACGAGGACAGGTGGCATGGATTGCTAACACCTTTGTCTCAGTGTTGAGCCAGCACCTCTGGGATTGGTTCGAATCTCGGGGGGGGCCTCGATGAAAGATTAAACCACGTTCTCAAGCACAGCCGGATTTAAGTTCCTGACTGGCATTCTCAAGTGAACTTGCCGGAACAAACATCTCTCGTACCTTGCGCTTGGCAAAACGAATGCTATTAAATTAAGAACAAACATCCGCGAGAAAAACCATTACCTTGTTTACATTTAAAAACACTACCATTACCACACCCATTGAAAGTAACGGCACAAAAGTTTGTTGAAAATCCAGTGGTTGGCATTTGCAGGCTTTTGATGTCCCTGTGTATCTTGACTGACTGAGGCCAAATTGATCGGCCAGTGTCAACTTGCCATGAGAGAGGAATTTGAAGTGTCTGTTATTTACGAGAGGCGATTGAATGTCTGTGGCCTGACATGGAGAGCAATAAGTGAAGCTTAGGAAATGTATCTTGACACACATTCTTGAAAAGGGCAATTAACTTAGGCCATTTGTTTCAGGGTTTTAACCCCTATCAGGATGGAATGTTCCTCTTGCTTCTTAAACCATTATTTCACAGCACGTAATTTCACTGCCACTGAAACATTTATTTTTTCAGCAAATCACCACAAATTGTTTTTTCTTTCTCTTTTTCTTGGTTCTTTCGGTAAAGTCACGTAGAAGGAAAATAATAAAATAATAAAAATAAAACATTTAATAATTCTCACGACGTTTCGGCCACAATGGAAGCAGCCGTCTTCAGGTGGAGAACAGGTCTGTCGAGAAGACAGACCTGTTCGAGAAGACAGACCTGTTCTCCACCTGAAGACGGCTGCTTGCGTTGTGGCTGAAACGTCGTGAGAATTATTTTATTATGTTTTATTTGTATTATTTAATTATTTCCCTTCTACGTGACTTTACCAAAAGAACCAAGAAGATGAATCCCTGCAGTCACGAAAGCTTTAAATCGAAATTTACACCACAACTTTGTAAACGGAAGTCACTTGTAGCCAGTATTGGGGGGGATTTCTTCAATATGTTATGGATATCTTATAATGTCTCCCCATATTCCTCTGAGGTCTAAATATTTCTCCACAATTCGGTTAAATAAAAAGCAAGGTTTCAAGTATCTATTCAAATGACCGGTATAATCCATTGCTATGAAATGCAATACTGCTTTAACATTGCAAACTTATACAGCGAAACGTGTCCCCGTTTTGTCGTAGCACCAATACTTTGTGAGGCTCCAGATTCTTCGATCGGTGTGAGTGTCGTGCCTGTGCGTGGCCATTCTGGTTTTAAGCCCACGCGCAGTTGCAAACAAACATCGAGGTGCTGATTTTGAGAATGTGGCCCCTGTGGCTGCCAAATGAGCAAACCACTCCAGCAAGGTTAATTTTTAATAATGAAAGAAAGGAAAATTTATAAAGGACCTCTGACCACCCAATTCTATAAGCTGCTGCAATAATATTTTGTTTTTTTTTACGTTTGTATGACCGCGTCTGTTTTCTTTCCGAGGTAATTGCCATTGGAAGTCTCAGATAATGACTTGTCAAATGTATCAACTTATTCACCTGCGCTGTAGGCAAGAATGGAAGCGCTTTCGGCGCATAGGAAATATGTCGGTGGATCCCAAGTGGGTAGAGAAATTGAAAATGAGGCCAGTGTGGAAGAAATGTTTGTCCAACCTAATTCCTCTCAATCCTGTGCAGCGTAGCAATGTTGCTGCTTCTGTTACCTTGCACAATAAATAATGGGTTAAGGAAAATAAACAAAAATGAAAATGTTCCGTCTGACGCATGCTTTTGCAGAAACATCTACAGAACATTGCTTATTGCCACTAGCAACAGAGACATTGTTTTAATACAATCATTGCTTAGGAATTGCTGTACTGTATTTAGTAAATATTCAGTTGTATCGCAATGATTTTTTTGGATTGTGTTGTTCCCGTTTGTTGACAGTGTAAGTTCTCCAAGTTTCCTTTCTAATTTTTGTCTTTTATTTTCAAGCATCGCTACTAATTCCATGTTGCTGCAAGTTTCAACCACGAGCACTGACATGCTTAACACATTCAACTCTTTTAACGTGAAGTCATTTGATGTACCTTACCCGCGCTGATGAATCAAACATTTTGATACGATACATTGTTCTTGTGAAATAAGTTCAAGAGGTTTCAAATGTATAAGACAAGTAGGTGGCTGGGATGTTCATTGTAGACTGTGTACGTTGTTTGCACCCGGCATGTCAGTTTCTGTGAAATCATGGGTTCCCTTTTGACGTGCGTAGACTTTGTCTTATTCACCAATGATTACGCAACCGAAGACGATCCTATGCAATAAATGCAGCCTTACCCAAACACTAAAGGGAAAAACATGTTTGCAAGACAAAAGCAAAGCTGCAATCCTCGCACCCTATAACAAGGCATTTAATTAAAAGTAGGTTTAAAGAAGACGGATCGTTATGGGTGTCTAGTTTAAGGATTTGTACTCTGCCGTGGCCGATGCTTTGCCAATGCTGATCTGACGGTTGTCCAAAAACGGACAAGAATATGCATTACCTTGTGCAGAGTAATACTTTAGCAGCCTAATAGCAGCAGCCTCATGTCGGGTAGGAAAGTGCAATCACGAGTTTTTGCTCATATCTATGCTCAACATTCCGATTATTTAAAACGACTGAAGGGCTGCCTGTCAATAGCATGCAATGTATTTTATTGACCTGTGTTTGAAACCTATAAATAAATAAAAACTTCAATTCTCCTTATGTAGCTTTTTGGGCATAGAGGTATTTTTTTAAATGTAAAACTATGTTTTATATAGTTACAGATTTTTTTCGGAATTACATTTGAAATGGAAAATGCAATGTGTTGTTTTCTGACGTGAGCATTGTTTCTAGATTTTAAGCTTTCGTGACTGCAAGGATTCATATTCTTCGGTTTTTTTCGGTAAAGTCACGTAGGAAAATTTTTTAATTTTAATTAATAAAAGTAAAATAAAAATAAAATAAAAATCACGACGTTTTGGAGGCAACACAAGCTTCCGTCTTCAGGTGGAACCGTCACAGCACGATAGCTCTATCAAGTGAGCATTGTTGATGGAGTATTTTGTTCACTTACGAAAGGCATACGGAATGCAACCGATTCCTCTGTGCAGGCTGTCTTGGTAGAGAGTATTCTAACCAGAAGCCTTCCTGACCACGAAGTGTCAGTGCTTACATCTTGTGTTGTATTTTGCTTCGTGTCAATTATGTTTTGCTAGATGGTGCCCTTCACTTGGTCCACCATCACCTATTAAGTACGATTACACAACTATCGAACGGAAACAAAAAATCAACATAAAATAATTGAAATGTGAGGTCAAAATACAGCAGACTTGAATACCCTTGTCAGACCATTCGCTTCAAACTATTGGTTCCTCCCTACCCGCACTACAACTAAACATCGACAGAATATCTCGTTCCAAATGTGGGTATCAAGCTGTGAATCCCACTTTGAAATGCAACTAACCAGCGACCCGATGTATAAGACCTGCATATCACGCAACAGCATCAGTCCACCACCTAGTAAATGCCATCGCTGCTTGTGCGAAAAGACTATAAACAGCGATAGCCTAACTTTCTGACCTTACTACAAGCCACACAACACAATCGTATCATGGTCAAAATCCTCAAAAGACAGCTCGAGTGAAAAGAAAACAACGTGTGGAGTTGGTCACTTCAGGTAGTGAACACGGGTCGGTTTGCTGGCGACGTTTGGCAGTTTTGAATTTAGAAGTCTGCAGAAGCTTCCTTGGGAGTGCTCATTTCTGCCTCGGCCAGGAGTGATTTTAGATGGTTCCGCTCCTACTTCCGAAGATTTTTGTTGTCCTGTTTTGTACAGACTCGAATTGAAAAGTCTTTGAACTGCAGAACCACATGGGGCTTTTTTTTTATAAGGGACTATAATTTTGGACTTTGGCCGCCGAAATTCTAGCTCCTGCAAAGGGCTTCTCGCCCGTCGCCCCCACTGATGTCCTCTTCACCCCCCACCCCCCCCCCCCCCCATGTGTGCAGATACTACTGGGTTGTACCTCAACGTTCATCATTAGATGCAAAGAGAAATGTACAAAATTCAAATGTCTGTGTTGGTATTTTATTCGCCTGTTTACCACCAGCCTTGACCACACCAAACCGAGCAGTCAAACTGAGACGTCTGAACATCAGTGGTGGGGGGGGGGGCGGTGGGGGTGACAGACGGATGTTGATATAAATGCCGACAAAATAAATCTCGACTCTATTGTATGTAGGGTGTGTAGGCAGAGGCCTATAAAATACATTTTTTTTGGGGGGGGGGGGGATCAACTTTTTACCCCCACAGTTGGGGAGGGGTCCACTTTCTAAAACTTTTTAATTCAGGCCTCATGAAACGCTCTAATAATTTAGTTGACGGACACCGGGCTTTTATAATAAAAAATATGGTTTGGTCACCCCTGGACTATACCATTCTAGGAAAGCTAATGTTTTGAAATATTTATAACAGCTCTGAAGGTAGCTAATGATAATACTGTTTACAGGATGGGCCAGATGTCTTGTGTCCTCCAATTAATTGACCCCCTATTTTTACCCTTTGCACATTCATTTCTTCAAATTAACCTCTAAAATATATAAAGTTTTAGAGAATTAAATGAAGGTCGCAAGACATCTGGACCACCCTGTGTGTGAAATGCCAAACAAGGCGCGCCTCTGTTATGTCGGTGACTTCAATAGCCTCAGGCTGCAGTCTAAACGATTTGTAGGTGGCAAAGGATTAACCGACTGGGCATTATCGAAAGATACAATTCTTTCATCTTCTTGGTTCTTTCGGTAAAGTCACGGAGAATGGAAATAATAAAATTATAAAATAAAACATAAAATATTTCTCACGACGTTTCGGCCACAACGCAAGCAGCCGTCCTCAGGTGAAGACCAGGTCTGTCGGGGAGACAGCGTCTGAATGAAACAGCACCACGCTTGGAGCGTATATTTAAGCTGGGTTGGAAGAGGGGGAAGGGCGCCTTGACAAAATAATTTGCATTATTATTATTTCCCTTCTACGTGACTTTACCGAAAGAACCAAGAAGATTAATCCCTGCAGTCACGAAAGCTTTAAATCGAAATTATTTCCCTTCTACGTGACTTTACCGAAAGAACCAAGAAGATTAATCCCTGCAGTCACGAAAGCTTTAAATCGAAATACAATTATTTTTTTCCAAAACAGTGCGACACTTCTCACTGCCCTAAATGGAACGGGACCGTGACCTTCAACGACGGCCAATTTCCTGCACGTGAAAAAACATGTTTTTGTGCCCCGATGCGAACCCAGCGCCACGCTGTTTTTTTTAAATCACAATACATTTAGACATCGAAGTAGCACTCCAGCTCACTCCCAGAATTTGCGATGTAAATTTCCACGAGGTAGCATGGCGTGAATTTTATTTGTTTTGTTTACAGATGCAGATGGATCCTCGGTGGAGTTGAGTGAGTATCGTCGTCGCCAAAACACGTCGGCATCGTTTGCCTGGGTTCAAAATAACGCCGCAAAGCAGCCGTGCCTCAGGGGGGGGGGGGGGGCTACCGCAGAGCAGAGGTCGCAACCGGGTACCCTGATACCCGTACCCTACCCGATACACGGCTACCCGTACCCGGCCCGGGTAGCCGTTTGCGACCCTGGTGAGGCCGGGTACGGGTACGGGTAGGCCGTGAGTCACTGGTGAGTCGCCGTTTTCTTGGTTCTTTCGGTAAAGTCACGTAGAATGGAAATAATAAAAGAATAATAAAATAATAAAAATAATAATGAAAATAAAACAAAGTAATATAAGAATTTTTTTTATTATTTCCATTCGACGTGACTTTACCGAAAGAACCAAGAAGATGAATCCCTGCAGTCACGAAAGCTTTAAATCGAAAGAGTAACCGTTTGTCACTCATTTCGGGTAGGGTACGGGTAAGGAATCAAAACCCGTTTGCGACCTCTGCCGCAAAGTCTACAACCACGAGTTGGCAACCGGAATATAAGGAGTGCGATATAACAAGAAAATCTATTTTTAAAAAACCTTCCCCTCTAAATATATAATAAAGGCCGCCAATGCACGTGATTACGAGACGACGGTCCTTAATGAATAACGTCATCAAGCAGCCCTCGAAAGAGCCGCAGGTTGATGACCCCCTGGTCTACATCCTAAACGACCACTTCCTTAAACCGTACAACACTCAAAATGAACTGGGCACATCTAATCCCCTGATAGGCTTTCAACACGGGAGTGATAATAAAGATATTTACTGGTAGGAACCTCCTGGTTACACCAGCCCACAGGGGATTATTGTGTCCGTCGTGCAGGGAGGGGCTGGATGAGGAGGGAGGGGCTGGGTGGGGAGGAGTGGGGCTGGATGGGGAGGGGCTGGTCACCCCGTGGTGCCCTTATAAAACTCAACGTTTAACCTACTCACGCCGGCTTGTGCCCGCCCTCACAGTCGGGCATTTTTGCGGAATACACCACGCCGCCGTTGACCCTGGGCCATTGACCGAGCAACCCAACGTTCCTACCAGCTCCCTCCGCAGGAATGTGTTAATGAATGGCCGATAACCTATTTTCACCTGGTCAATGAGAGTCTGCTGTTTTGAGCATCGTTACTTTGTGCGATGGTCAAACGAGGACACCTTAACGCAAGGTAAGACTAGAATAAGCGGTGTTGGCAGTGACACGTAACGATCAAGGGGGGTCAATACTGTCCAAGCAGACGAGTGCCGACATGAGTCTGGCACGTCTGTCCCTGCGGATATTGTAACCATCGACCAGAGCTGTTCATCCCATCATATTGAAAGGTCGTCCGCACGAGTGATCGATCCCTGGCAAGGGAACGTTTTTTTTGTTCCAGCAACACTCATAGGAAGCTCTTCCCGAAGCCCCGAGCTCTCGGCATACACAGCCCTTTATCTAACCTTGCACTACCCACCATCAGTAAACCTCACGGCCTCCTTATTACTTTTTTGTTTTTTTCGGTAAAGTCACGTCGGTATAAAAAAATCAAATCAAATAAATGAAAACAACTAAATTAAATCACGACGTTTCGGGCGCAACACAAGCGTCCTTCTTCAGGTGGGGACAACGTAGCGAAAGCACAACCGCTTAAGTGTGTCTAAGACAGTGGCGTAGCTAGGATATTTTGCGCCCGGGGACAAACTATAAAATTGGCGCCCCCCCCCCCCGTTTAATCACATACCAAAATGTAATTACATGACATGTAGGCTGTGTGTGGCGGGATGTATATACTTTTAGGTTGAGGTGTAGATTTGTGCAGTAGTTTCAGGCTGCCGCGCCCGCCGCAATAAGTTCTAATGTAACGTTGTAAGCCTCATTTTGGCGCTCCTTTACCTTGGCGCCCGGGGACATATGTACCCCCTGCCCCCCCTAGCTACGCCTCTGGTCTAAGAGATGGCTGTGACGAGGAGTTATATAGTCGCGGGGGGATGGAGGGAGGGGGAGGGGCCATGGTGAGTGTGTGGGCGGACTGTGGGCTGGGAGGCAACGATGTGAGGAACGGGGTGGGCGCAACGTACGGAGTTCAAACTGAAGCTTTGTGATGCAGGGGGCGGAAGTAGATAAGGAAGCTAAGATTAAGCAGCGTTTTGTTATGCTGCCGAGGAAGTATCTATCATTAGGGTTTACTCCAATCCCCTATGCGCACCGTCGGTTTTCATCATTTCTCTTGGACGTGTGAGTCCGTGCATCACTCCGTGATCCCACCAATGCCAATTCGCGAGTGTGGTCCCGTGTGTCCCCCCCCCCCCCCACGTAACCTCGACACGACCTCCACAATATCTCGTCGGGGCTGCGCTTGCCCGAGAGCCGGCCCATTCACTCGTCGCTCGGTGCTCTTTGAGTTGATGAAATGCGAAGGGAGATGCGACTTCTTTATAGTATTCGTTTAGGGCTGCGGGATTCTGTTCGGGGTTAGGAACTGTATTGCCTAAGACTGCTTTTTCTTTTTGTATTCGTGTAAGGTTGGGGGTCTATCGCTGGGGTTTGGGATTCATCTGTAAGGTCAACAGTTGTCGTCTTCGTTGTCGGGTTAGATGCATTCGTGTCTATGACTCCTTACCGTGCGCCGCATCTGCATGGCAAAGGGGACGTCCATAAATGACGTCACGCGATTTTGGACGATTTTTGATCCCACCCCCCGTTCGTCACACGACGTTGCAAAAAGTCAGACCCCCCCCTGAAATATGACGTCACAAAGCTCTGCCCCCCCCCTAAAAAAAATATAAAACATGCTTCAAATCGCTTTAAACTAATTGTCATTGTAGTGCGTATTTAATATGGCGCTGCACTCTCATGTTGTAGGAGAAAACATGTATTAAAAAGTATATTTAATTAGGTAGAACGTGTTGTCTATATTTATTTAAAGTTGCGCATTTTGATGTGACGTCACATTTCTAACCCCCCCGCCCCCTCGTCACACATCGTCACAAATGTCTGACCCCCCCCCCCCCCCAGGTGCGTGACGTCATTTATGGACGGCCCCAAAGTCGCCTCGAGATCAAGACTCAGCATTGCTCCGAGCACATTTTTCGGCACGTGGGGGGAGGGGTGCAACTGGGTCGGCATCGGGGATCAGAGTCATGGGTGGAAAAACCCAATTTTTCCAGCGGCAACTCAGAGTGGGGTGCGGCAGTGAAATGCAGGATTGCAAGATTCCAGTGGAACTCAATTTGCTCTCTCCTCGCCCTCCTCCAAAACAAAGACAAAGCTCCCCCGTGTAGCCTGTAACAGACTGTTGGGGCAAGTGCTGTTAGCGAGCTGCACTTATGAAGTTCGGCACAGCCTTTGTCTCCCCAGTGGCGATGTTTACACACCGCACCAGGTACTCATTTGAGGCTGAGTCGACCTAGGGGATGCCCGAAGCCGGGTTCGCTGGTGTTGGTGGCCGTGAGCGGTAATCGATCTCGGGTCACTGTGTTCGTAGCACAGCACGCTACCCGCTACACCATCGCTCCCCTCCAACATACACACACGAAGAGCCAGGAACAACATTGGACGGTGGACAATAGAAGGGCCGTGTATATAGAACAGGTAGTCATTTCAATCGGTTTTTTTTTCATAAGGTGAGATAAATGAACACCGGAGATGCATTTTTCGAGATTGTTTTTTCATTGCAAAATTAACGAATAACATTTTAAATTTCGATTTAAAGCTTTCGTGACTGCAGGGATTCATCTTCTTGGTTCTTTCGGTAAAGTCACGTAGAATTGAAATAATAAAATAATAAACATTTAACAGAATTTTATTAAATAAAACAATTTTATTATGTATTATTTTTGTTATTTTATTATTTCCCTTCTACGTGACTTTACCGAAAGAACCAAGAAGATGAATCCCTGCAGTTACGAAAGCTTTAAATCGACCTTTAGCGATGTCTGCTTAGCCAGGGCCCCTTTGTTACCAAGTCAATTGCACCAACGAACCCCACCCCCGAATGTGAAATATATTTCACCGCCCCACACACACACACATCCAGTGCTGTAAACAGGCTGTAAACTGCACGTTTCGTGGTAGGCTTTTGTGTGTGTGTGTGCGTTTCACTTGAGGCTTACTCCATACTTTGAACGCAGAGAGCCCCAGGGTTTAATTACTTATTATCCGTTCGTAAACCGGTCAGTCGAGTCAGTTGCGTTTGCATCTTGAGCGCTTGGTGCAGAAGACGTGTATTGTTGGCCAGCTTTCAGCCGCGCAGTGTTAAATCGACGATTATTCATCGGTATATGGTCGCACGTAACTCTTTTTCTTCCGCTGGTTCTGCGTTTGTATGTTTTCGCTCACGGTTTTAAAAAATTATAATCATCGAGAAACCTTTTTTCGAGCATAGTAAAAATTTTTTACCCCTTTCCACATCCGAAGGTGAAAGCAGATGGCTCTCCAGCAGACGAACGAAAATCCGCAGGCTTCCGCGGAAGACGACTACCCGACCTATATTCAGGAATTAGCCAATGGATATCGCAAATCGAAGGTGAGTCTTCGTCTTGCGGTACTCTTGTCTGAAACTCGGCACAGTCGTCAACAACATTGCAATGAAATGCATACAAATTGCTCTTTTGCATACAGCACAAGAAGGGCGATTGCCCGAAACGTCGCCTATTACACTGGTCAACAACAAAAAATTCTGGCCTGGACTTTTGGAATACCTTATGCCAGAAAAAGTGTGTTGACCAGTGTTATGTGTGTGTGTGTCCTTTTTTTACGGCCGTGTGTTAGTGACGAATGTCTATAATAAAGGTGTTTTTTTTGTTAGATCACGTAAATATAAAAGTGCCGTTAAACCCACCACCCGACACAGCCAATAAGTAGTAATGTGTGGTGTCACGTAAACAGAACGTGGCAATTCGTTACTAATGAAGAGGAGTCGGAGACTGGTTACTCGCTTATTTAAACACGAGTACAGCACTAACCGGTTGTGTGCTGGAGAGTAAAAACACAACATTTTCAATTCGAGTACGACGTTTCGCCAGTAATTGCAACCAGCATCATCAGGCGGCAGCCAGAGTTGTGGATACATCCTCCTCCTGTTTTCGGTCTTCAATAGAGGGACACACGTGACGTCGTCACACTAAAGTGAAGAACGTTTTGCGTGTTTGTGGCGCCTGTTCATGCACCGCTGCCAATGCGGTCGACGATTCTGTACCGCAAAGTAACGGTATCTAGAACTGGGGTGTAATCGTGCACCGAATCGTCTATATTTAGTATCAAGTTCATGATGCGCATCATGCATGCTTCGAATGGCATGCTGTACGAATCAGTCTTTTCAGTTCATTGTTGTTGTGGACGATACTGGGGGAGGGGGGGGGGGCATCTACAGCGGTGTACATTGCACATTTATACCTGGGGTGCAGGTGGAATGAAACACTGATTTGACCTTACCTCCAAAATGAGATGTTTTTTTAAACTCAAACTTTTCCATTGCAAGACCTCTGATTAGCTACAGACGGTGCGAAATAAGTTCAACATGCAGTACATAACAAGACAGGCACTCTGCCACTGCACCATCAGCAGATCGTGATAGGTTCATGATACAATGTTCATTCCTATGCCGCTCCACACTGCTGGATGAAGGCATTCCCATGCTGCGTGGTTGTCTAACCAGACTTTCAGTCGTGATGACATGGGGCAGAGACATTGCGGTAGAGCACGCGTTTTCAGTTAGTTGCAAAGGTTCGCTGTTGTAGCCCAGGGGCCGCCCTGGTTAACGCTGTGGGTGTCTCAAGAATGAGAAAATTACACGCGCCGCCTGCTTCGCAGTGAACGTCTAAGATCCCTACTCTAAGATCCCTACTCTAAGATCCCTACTCTAAGATCCCTACTCTAAGATCCCTACTCTAAGATCCCTACTCTAAGATCCCTACTCTAAGATCCCTACTCTAAGATCCCTACTCTAAGATCCCTACTCTAAAATCCCTACTCTAAGATCCCTACTCTAAGATCCCTACTCTAAGATCCCTACTCTAAGATCCCTACTCTAAGATCCCTACTCTAAGATCCCATATCTAAAATTCCTACTCTAAGATCCCTACTCTAAGATCCCTACTCTAAGATCCCTACTCTAAAATCCCTACTCTAAGATCCCTACTCTAAGATCCCTACTCTAAGATCCCTACTCTAAGATCCCTACTCTAAGAGCCCTACTCTAAGATCCCTACTCTAAGATCCCTACTCTAAGATCCCTACTCTAAGATCCCTACTCTAAGATCCCTACTCTAAGATCCCTACTCTAAGATCCCGTGCCGTTGCTTGAAGAAGAGTCGGCTGGCCAACGTGTGCCGGTGTGACGGTGCAAATTTGATCAATTGTTCGCATATCAACGATGGGAGCCACTTAACAACATCCACCCACAACCGTTTTCTGGCCAGTGCCGCGTTCACGTTGTGTTTCACAGAGACAGCGGCCATAGCGCGCGGAGCCCAAGACGCACTGAAACATGGGGAGCGTGGCACAAGTATTCCTAAGTAATCTGGATGACGCTTTGGAAAAAACCCCACAAACACACGCACAAATTGTTTGAATCGCGCTATGTGTCTGTGATTCCTGCACCAAAGATCCTGTTTACAGCCTGTGAGCTGGGGGTGTTCGATCTCCTTGAGGACACCCCGGACCGTGCCGGCATGACGGTAGCAGCGTTGGTGGCAGAGATGGGGCGAGCAGGAGATCAGCAGCAGCAGCAGCAGGAGGAGGAGGAGGGTGCAGGAAGAGGAGAAGTGGTGAGCAAGGACGGCCTGGAGCGACTGGTAGATGCCTGCGTTGGGCTGGACCTGCTGAGAGTGAGCATTCACGAGGGAACAGGTATACACCACTGGTGCAAAATGGGGCTGTCACATGTGTACACACACAGCTGTCAGTCATTTATAAACTAAACTATAAAAAAAATAGTTTTACCAGGTAAGGCCCACTGAACTATGTTGCTCTTTTTCATATAGCTGGAAAATAAAAAATAAAAAATAAATTATTTTTTATTTTCCAGCTATAATAGCTCTTTAACAGAAGCAACCTGGCCACAAATGATAGCTCAACGAAGTGGCTTATCGTGTGGAAACGTTTATCAGCCAAATACTGTACTCTTAAACGCATGTTTCTAAACACGGAGGGGAAAACCCGGTGGACCCGGAGAAAAATCCACGTGACCACGGGGAGAACATGCAAACTCCAAATATACAGCAGGTGTCAGGGTCGGGATCGAACCTCCGACCTCCTCCATACCAGGCGAGGTAGTTAACATTTAAATAAATCAGATAATTTATTTCAGTTGGCATATGAATAACTAAAATGAAGTGGACAAAAATAGTCATTTACAGCACGGTTTTGCCTTTCAGTTGTGTTTATTCTCATTTGTCTATGCATGCGGTCCATACTTGAATTCCCTGTTTGGTCTGCTAATTGATTCCTTACGGAGCAGTTATCTCAAATACCCATTTGTTTTGACACTTCGAGATGTACTACATGGAACACGTGGTATAAATAATAAATTATGATGATATTAATTCACCCAGATACACGTGATGCCTATGGCCAATCACCCAGGATGCACTCAATCTCATCAGATCTTGGTAGCTAAGCGGGTTTGAGCCTGGATAATGCATGGATAGGTGACCACCAGTAATCCATTATTCTGTAATTCACTCCCACCTTCGCTAACTCAAACTGACCAGCGTGGTGAAGTATGGTCAAATAACCCTCACTGCCTGCATGGCATGGGAGATCCCTCATCCAGCAGTGATTTGTCAAACAGGCTGTACATGTGATTGGTGTAAGTTGTGAAAATATTAACAGTTCTTTGTAACGGCGAGTCCTTTCCTGCGACATGGTAGCATAGAGTAGAACGGTTCTGTGTGTTTGATTAAAGCTGCTTTAAAAAAACAAAAATCTGCAATGGTGAGCCCCACCGCTGTTTATTTCCCACAGCGATTTACAGCAACACGAAGCAAGCGAGCACCTACTTGACTCGCTCCAGCCCCAAGTCTATGCACGACGTCATGATCTTCAACTCGCACACTGTCTACCCCTTGTTTCATACTCTCCCATCGGCTGTGAGGTGACCGCGACAAAACCTCTTCTACTTTTATATACTTCTATATTTGTCCCAGGTGTAAGGCTCACTGAGCTTTTTCAAAAGCGTCCTGCCTGCAAATGATAGCTCAACCAAGTGGCTAAATCACGTGGAAATTCACAGCAGACAAATACTCGAAACGCACGTTGATTCATAATGATGCGGAGGGAAAAACCCGAGGACCCGGGTAAAAATTCACGCGACCATGGGCAGAACATTCAAACTCCAAATATGCAGGTGTCAGGGTCGGAATTGAGCCTAGGACCTCCTGTATACCAGGCGAGGTAGTTAACATCTTGCCACCATGGCTCCCTTAGCGTCTGTCCTCAGAGTCATCGCAATGCGTGAAAACAACTATTCAATGTGGATGAGACCGTTTCGGCTCATCCTTGCTGCGTTCACCAACACTGCAGGCCAAAGCACTTTTGGCAGCCTTTGGTCTAGCACTGGTGAGACAAAGCCACGAAAGAGGCTATCTCTGGTGTAGGCCAAGCAGTTTCAGGGGCTGTGCACACATTATAAGCAAAATCATCATGTGTGTGGTTAAATGCAGACTTGACGCCTTGTAATTTGTGTATACAGTATTTGGTGTTTTGACATCTTAACCCCTGTATTATTGCCAGAAAGAGTAAAGCCTTTTCTTATTTTTTTATCAGGATTTATCAGGTTTAAACGAGCAGGTACATCTAATTGTTTTCATTTTGCCCAATTGTCTTGCAGAGAAGGTAAACACCAGCATAAAAAAGCTTTTGGAGTACAATCTGAGGACATATTTGAGGCCCTGTACCGGTAAGCTTCATCATTGTTTTTATACATTTCACAAGGTCTTTGGATAGTCATCATCATCATGATTCATCTACTCGATGAAGGCCTCACCAAATCCGCCAGCATATATCACTATCTTGTGATGTAATAATCGCACGAGTGAATTGAAACGCTCCATCTCTTCGGCAGACGTGATACTGGACCCGTTCTGCCCTCGGCTGCCCACTCCATTATTTCTTGATCATCGGCCCATCGGGGATAATGCTATCCAGCAACTTGAATGTGTCAGACTGCTGCATCGTTGCTTGTGTGCAGGACAGAGGAGGAGAGGATGAAGTTCATGCGTTTTTTTTATTCCATCTGGTCAAACGACGGCCCCTATATCCTCAATGCCTTCGATCTCTCCTCCTTCAAGGATGTCTGTGACGTTGGAGGTGAGTTGAGGACAAGCCAGCAATGCATGCCACCAGATAAGCACTGAATGAATATCTTTACACACTTGGTCGAGCACAACTCTGGACCGGACTCCAGCTCCTTGGCCGAAGTAAATTTGACAGTGGCGCAAATAACAAATACCGTACAATAGTTAATTCTCGACATCGCTCGTTAAATAGCGTTTCGATGTGTTACGTTCAATTTTTTGTTTAAATATCCTGTTGTCTTGTAAACAACTTGATGTAATGCAGATCAGCCTTGCAACTGAGGCAGTGCATCTTACGTCTCCTTGATCTTTAGTTGAACTCCTTGTTTGAATCAAGGATACTGCTACGATTGCTGTGAAAATTCTAAATTACTTTCCACAAAAAAATATCTTCCAAAGTCAGTGCGAGTCTGTATCTCTCTCGTAGATTGTCGTAGTGTAGCGGTTAGCGCACGGCGCTACGAACCCGGCGACCCGGGTTCGATTCCCGCTCACGGCCAACACCAGTGACGATGATCTGAACCAGTTCTGGGCCTCCCCCTAGGTCGACTCAACCTAAAACGAGTACCTGGTGCGGTGTGTAAACATCGGCACTGGGGAGACAAAGGCGTCCGGGCGTGGTGCTGGCCACCCACCCCCTCGTGTGCCGTGCCGGCTTTCGTAGGTGCTCGCTAACAGCACTTGCCCCTGCAGTGTGTTAAGGCTACACGGGGGGGGCCTTTGTCTTGTCTCTGTCGCAAAAAAAACAAGAGTGAGAGTAAAGCTGGCTGTTGTCAATTGCAGCAGCAGAATGGCGCTGATAAGATCGTGTGTTTGCTTTCATGAGTGCAGGAGGCACGGGTGTTTTGGCTCAGCAGTTTGCCAGAATGTACCCCGACGCCCGGGTCACCTTGTTCGACCTCCCAGATGTTTTGGAAGTCACACAGAAGCACTTCCTCACCTTCGGCAACGTGAAGCTGCACGCAGGTGACAACACTGGCTGCGGATTCCCATCGTCGTGTGGATTTTTTCCTCCGGTTTTTTTCGCCACATTTAGAAACATTGCGTTGAGTGTACAGGTAGTCCCCGACTTACGACGGAGATGCGTTACGACGACCCCATCATCGTAAGTCGAAAATGTCGTAAGTCGAAGATGGCCTCGCCTACCCAGCGAGTCTTAAAGAATGGTGATAATTGAGCAAAACAGAGCAATTTACAGTACCGTGCTGTATAAACTATAAGCGTGCAGTACATCCCGGCAGCGTCCCAACGTACAGCGTCGTACCTCGTGTACGCTGCTGCGTTTGCCTGCCGCGTGAAATGTAAAATAATTTTGTCAAATCGCGATCGCCATCGTTAGATCGAAATATCGTAAGTCGGACCATCGTAAGTCGGGGACTACCTGTATTTGGCTGCTTTAAATGTCCACATGACAAGCCACTTCATCTAGCTGTCATTTGTGGCCAGGTGCGCTTCTTAAAAAGAGCTACATAGCTCAGTGGGTCCTACCTGCTAAAATAAAAAATGTGTACTTTTAAATATTGACTTAAAGCTTTCGTGACTGCAGGAATTCATATTCTTGGGTCTTTCGGTAAAGTCACGTAGATAGGTTCAAAGAAATGTAAAAAAGTTACGAAAAACTACGACGTTTCGATCTTAACACGAGCAACATTCTGCCTCAGCAGTTTTCCGCAATTTTTTCTCCTGATGACGAATGCTTGTGTTGCGATTGAAACGTCGTAGTTTATTTGTTATTTTTTGTTATTTTCTTTGAACCTATCTACGTGACTTTACCGAAAGAACCAAGAATATACTTTTAAACAGTTTAGTTTATAATTCCCCCTGAGCGCAGGGGACTGAAACGGTTGTAAAAAAACACGTCAACGTATAACGCAAAAATCCAAAGCTGAACACTTGCGTTGCTGCAGATTTGATGCTATATGCTTTCAAGAGTGATGATCATTTAGCTAGGCGGTCGTAGGGCATGGCATGGCACTGAATATTAAAAAAATGTGCAAACTTGAGATGGCTCACAGTTCAGATAAATTAGCTGGTACCGCTGACATCCAGGGTCTGAATGTAGGTTTCTGCCACCTGTGATCAAACCGAGTTCTCTTGTTGTTTTAGCTAGTTGTTGGTCTTGGACAAATGAAACAAAAACACCATCATGTCAAAGTTGGTTTTGCATTCAATTTGGATTATTCTAGCCCAAAGAATTAAAAATACCGTCTTTGACTGTCACACATGATAGCAAAGTGCCGCCCTCTGGATAAGAGAGCACATGAATAGATTTCAGTAGTAGTAGTTTCTTTGATATCTCTTTCTTTGGAAAGTTCTTCAACACGGCGTGATGCACTGCTCTCAGAGAGTTCCAAATTGATTAATTTGTTTCGCAACAGAAAGCTTAAAGCATCATGAGACACAAAGTGGAGAAGAAATATATATTATTAAAATGATTTGCATGTCGTTTTGAGAGTTAGGGTTATTGAAGTGTGCAGTGGTATTACTAAGTGGTGAATGGTGTGAGATTTGAGACTGCATTCACACTGTGAACTATTCTTGATCGTCAACTTGTGTTGCAGATGGCCTCATATGCCACGTGATGTCCGAATGCAGTTCAATACAAATCTATTCTTTGCAGGGGGAAATTGAGACCGGGGACGTCCGTGTGGTTAGCACATGCAGTTGTTTGGCACATTGTCATCACCCCAGGTCGATCCCCACCATGTCTCATAACACTGGTCAAAAAAAAAAAAAAATTCTGGCCTGCTGTTTGCAGTGGCGATGACAAAAGGAAAGGCTTTATCCAGCAGTGGTTAGAACATTTTAATCATGGCTCGAAAAAAATATCCAAGTGTTTTCAATTTCTGCACAGCAGTCTGAGTTGATTTGAAGCTTTCGTGACTGCAGGAATCCATACTCTTTGGTTCTTTCGGTAAAGTCTTTACCGAAAGAACCAAAGAGTAAGCAGTCCGAGTTGAAGTTTTCTAGTTTCTTCAGGAAACTTTTTATGACAATCTCTGATATATCAGATATATTTGAATAACACTAACACGTAGGCTTTCGCGACCAATGTTATTCATAATCAACGTTTTTGGGTTTAGATCGTGAATTGCCCGATGATGCTGGTTGCAATTACCAGCGAAACGTCGTACTCAAATTGTAAATGTTGTGGCTTCAACACACCGGTGGGCTAAAGCAGTGAACTATTTGTCTTTGTCAACGTGACATATTTTTTACTGATTGGCCGTGTCGGGTGGTGGAGGGTTACGACACATTTATAAATAACGCGATCTAAACCCAAAAACGTTGATTATGAATTGAATAACACTAGTCAACAAAAAAAATCATTTTTTTCTGGCCTGGACTTTTGCAGCTGTTTTAGACTAAGTTCAGGGTGCTGATTCCAAATCTGATCTCAGATTTTCTCTATCACATCTCATTTTTATGCTATCGGCATACCCCATTTTCATTGATTTTACCCGAACTTAACTCTGTTACTTATGATTGCAAGTTGTTGCGAGTCAGTGACTGCTTTAGTGTTAAAATACGGTGCTGTAGTTTTAGGATAGTGTGTTTATAATATCATTTTGTGTAGATATCCACATTTATTTAATATTTTTATTCTGCAGTTTTTATTGAAAATGCAATATTTGATATCTCAAAAACCTGATGTGATAGACAAACACTGATGCCAGATTTGGAATCAGCACCCCAAAATTACTTTAAAACCGTTGGAATACCTTATGCCAGAAAAAGTGTGTTGACCAGTGTAATAGAAAGCGGTCACTTTATTGATCAACCTTCTCACCCTATATTGATTCGAAACTTTCCTGACTGCAGGAATCCATACTCTTTGGTTCTTTCGAAAAGTAATGTAGGTAGAAATAAAATAAAACAAATCACGACGTTTCCATCGTCATCAGGCTACCCCTATCCCTCTAAAAGCTGCGCTCGTGTGTAACGCTTCGCGTAGGTGACTTCTTCAAGGACAAGATCCCTGAGGGCGACCTGTACATCCTGGCGCAGGTCGTACACGACTGGAAAGAAGATCAGTGCCTCACGCTGCTCCGCAACATCCACTCCAGCTGTCGGCCAGGTCACTCAGTTATTGATTTTATCTTGTAGCAAGAAAGTGTCCGCGGGGGGGGGGTATTTCCACAGCGTTGTTCCCCTCTTTGCATAAAAATGGAACTTAATAATTGCTTTTTTACCCTTTTATCTGGCAACAAAACTGACACCTTTTTTACAAGGAGTCATGTTTGCATAGACCACAATACCTGCAGTCATAATGAAAACAAAAAACATAACTCTGATAATGTTTGCACTGTCCTTGAAGTTGATTGGTCCACACCCGAGACAGCTTTTCTTAGAGCCTAGTCTCACATCGGTTGGACCAGATGACGCCAAAAGGCGCACAACTCAAAATGGAACTTGTTTCTGGCCAAATCATTCGTGCCCTTTTCACTTCATTTCGGCACTCTGTGTGTGGCAGTGGACTGAATCGGCCAGTGCGATACGGTACAGTGCCTAAATATACTTGGCGTGCTGAGACTAGGTTCCCCATAATTAGATTCCGTTTATCCGAATGAAATGAATATGGGGAAAAAACTCATGGCAAACGTAGGCAAATTAGCCACTTGTTTTCAGCAATTCCCATGGCGGTCATAATTCTGTGCAGTTAATCTTGGCTACGCGTCTTTGTTACCTCTCTTTTTCGCCGATCTACGACTGCGGTTTCACGTTGCTGCAGGCGGAGGGGTTCTGATCATCGAGACTCTGCTGAGGGAAGACCGGACCGGGCCAATAACCGCGCAGATTCACTCTGTCATCATGCTGATGCACACCGTGGGGAAGGAACGCACGGCCACGGAATACACGGAGCTGCTCACCCAGGCTGGGTTTCGTGACGTTCGCGTGGCCCACACGGGCAAGACGTTCAATGCCATTCTCGCGCGAAAATGACGCGCGCCGAGTGAAAACCGTCGCCAGAAAGAAAAAAAACGATTTGGTTAATGGGATATTTTTTTTGGGATCAGTTAAAAACATTTTTTTTTTAAATTGGCAAATTATTTCTTTTACGCACGTTTTTATTCGAAATGACTTTTACGCGTGAAAATATAATCGCTTTCCGATTTAACATCGCGCCAAAGTTTGTCTCTCAGCACTGGCCTATAACACAATTACAATGATGCATGTATGCTTGGTGTCACTCTGATCTCTGGTGGAACTGGGTGCTTGGGTAATAAAACTAACAAAAAATAAAAATCGTGGCTTCTTAACATGAAACTGGATGTGCTCATACTCTTAGGTTTTTTTCGGTAAAGTCACGTAGGTAAAAAAATTCATAATAATAAAAATAAATGAAAATAACTAAATTAAATCACGACGTTTCGGAAGCAACACAAGCCTCCGTCATCAGGTGTAACTGCTCCAGTAAAATTACTGTAGCGTGTGAAGAAAACTATTCAAGACACCTGTTATCTCCCCCCCCCCCCCGACTCATTGGCTCCTCCCTGCCCAGCACCCTTTAAAAAAACACGTGTCTTAAATAGCTCTCTTCACACGCTACAGTAATTTTACTGGAGCAGTTCCACCTGATGACGGATGCTTGTGTTGCTTCCGAAACGTCGTGATTTAATTTCGCAATTTTTTTGTGTCTGCTCACAAGTAATCCCCATCGATGTACGGTGACCACTGGTTGTAATTACTGGCGAAACGTCGTACACTCAGATTGTAAATATTGTAGATTTACTCTCCCAACACACAACCGATGTGCTGTACTAGGAACGAATTGGCACGTTCTGTTTACGTGACGAGCCTTTTTCGAATTGGCTGTGTCGTGTGGTGGCGGCGGGTTGAACGACACACATTTATACTTGTGTAATGTGAGGTTATATCCGGGTCGTTGACGGATTACAACTCGTCACGACGATTGGCTCTGCCGGTCCTGGTTCATAGCCAATGGGGGGAAGCCTAGGGGCGTGGCCCTGACGTAATGGAAAGGTGACAGCTGGTTGTAGAGGATTGGTTCCCGGGAGCCTCTGGAATATTCCATAGAGGCTAACCAGGATTGGTGGAAACGTACCACGTGACCCGGGTATTAAATAGGGGTGGAGACGGACGACACGTGGTCAGAACGGGAACGAACAGAGGAAGGGGGCCACGTGGGAGCGGGGCTCCGGGTTGCCACGTGGCTGTGCGCATCTCTCTCTCTCTATCTGTCCCTCTCATGCTGCCTGTCAGCAGCGTGAAGAAAAGCTGTAATGCAAAGTTGAATAAAAGACCGGATTCCAGAAGTCGCCTCAACGAGCATTATTACACTTGCATTTATGGGTGCTACCACCAACTTGGCCGTGTCACCACCCCGGGACAAAGTGCCAGGTTGCGTGTGGGGAGTGTGGAGGTTTCTGAGGCACATCTGGACTCTTTTTTTCTGAGGCGCTGAGCAACCTACAACCTGACCCCCCCCCCCCCACCACCATCTCGCCCTCCCTTCTCCTTGGCTCCCCTCTGATTCCACAATCTATCTCAATTCCGCACATTAGCCCATTGCCCCCCCTGGATGCATTCTCCCCATTGGCGGCCTTTCGTGTCCAACTTTCTCACTGATCTGCTTCAGTTTTATATTCCACTGCTAAAATGTAGATCTGCTGGCTCACAGAAGCTCGTGCTGCTCACGGCCACTCGGGGTCGGCCTCCCGAGGGCCGTACGCAGCTTGGCCCAAAACAGCTCCCGCCCGATGTCATCGTGGGGCCACACGATGTACGTCTTGTTGTTGACAATCCTGCGCATGCGGTAGTAGGCCGACAGCTTGTAGCTGGGGATCGTTTCGAGGAAAACCATGATGAGAACGTCCTTGTGCTCGTTGAAGAGGCGGTAAGAGGCCATCTGGATCTCCATGGAGCACCACTCGCTGAGCAGGTAGCTCTCGCTCACCACGCAGATGGTCTTGCGGCTGTTGTAGATCGCGTCCACGATGTTGTCAACGATGTACTTGCCCAGCACGAAGTCGCGGTGATGGACGCAGAGCTTGAAAAAGGGCGGGCCCTCTTTCTCCAACTGGGGGACCATCTCGGACATGACCCAGTCCTCGTTCATCGAGTTGTACGAGATGAACGCGTCGTAGGTGTACACCTGTTTGTCCGCGGCGTTGCGGGGGTAGTCGCGGAACCAGGCTCGGAACATGTAGTAGCCGTAGATAATGTGCCAGCGCACCTTTGCGTACACCAGCGGGATGAGGATGGTGAACAAGATGGTCGGGCTCGTCGAGAGAAACATGATTTTTCCCAACTTCTCATGACAGACGGACGTGTCAAAGTCGACGAAACGGGAAAACGTGAACCCGTGTCCCACTTCACATTGCAACGTGTAGAGGCCAGTCACCTGTATATTGCTGGCGAATGACCAGTTTTTAAACCAGGCATTGTCGCAAGTGCAATCTACAGGATTATTTCTCAAGTCTAAATATTTCAGGTTTGTCATGGGTGTAATTAACTCCTCCGTTACATAACGAATAGCATTATCATTGAGATACAACGTTTCCAAGTGTGTCAGGTTCTGAAACTGCTGGTTGTTGATGGAACCCAGTCCATCGTTGCCAAGGTCTAGGCTGGATAAATTTTTAAGTTTGTAGAACATTGTCTTGTTCATTATTTGTAGGCCACTGCACACATCGTGAATATCGAGGTATTTGAGGTTATGCATGCCATCAAAGGGGTGCCCTTCGTGGAACAACAGTTTGTTGCCACCCAGTTGAAGTTTTTCCAAAGCGTAAAGCCCCTTGAAGAGGTTTTTAGGAATGCTCTTCATACCATATGGCTGTTGGGCACTCAGTTTAAGGTTAATTAGATTGGTTAGTTCAACAAAGGGTGGGTTTTTAATGGTTGGGGAGTTATATACAATCATGTTCTTGACCAGGTCGAGGACACGCAACGAATGTAGCCCAGCAAACACAGCTCGGTTGTCCAGGCTGCGGATTGCATTCCTGTCGAGGTAAAGATTTTTCAAATTTGAAAGTTCAGAAAATGTCTCTCCTTGAAGATACGAGAGAGCGTTGCCACCCAAGTCCAAAAACTCCAGGTTTGTTAAATTGGAAAATACACTTCGATTCAGAATTTTCAATCTATTGTTTCGTAGCATGAGGCTTTTTAGATTTTTGAGCGGGGAAAACGGCGACTGGACGTTAAAGCTGCGGATGACGTTGTTTTCCAGCACCAGATAACTGAGGTTGTGCAAACCGTCGAAGGGTCTTTTGCTCAGTCTTAAAATGTCATTTCCGGTTAAGTCTAGCTTGCGAAGGTTTTTCATATGAACGAAGGCGTAAGATTCCAATTGAAAGATATAGTTGTTCTTAATAAATAAGTTTTCTAAGTAAGGAAGAGGCGTGCATATCACAAATGTGGAGTTATCATTTTTTACACAAGACTCTAACACCTCAATATGGTTCTTGTTCAAAGTTAAATTACGCAACGTGTTGTTGGGGCTCAGGAAGTTGTACCTCTCTACTGACTTGATTCTGTTGAATGAAAGGTCCAAACTTTCAATCTCACGACAGTTGCAAAAAGATTCACTCACGTTTGAGATGTAGCAATTAGTCAGAGTGAGAGACATTACCTGCCTGGTTACGTTCAGCCGACAAACTAAATGCAGATTTGGCAAACTGCGCAAGGGTAAATATGCGAATGTGAGTGTTTTTGGAAACATGTTATTTAACGTTTGAAGTTTAGAGATGTTCAGGTTTCTCATGCTAAGTCTCAGTTGCAAGAGGCTACTCATGTTGAGGCCCGCGAGTTCTGAAACATTCGTGAGGCTGCTGTTGAACAAATCGAGTGAAGTAATGTGATTTAAGAAGTCGCGCTCAAGGGAAATGCTGTCAATAGAGTTGTTTGAAAGAAACATCAATTCCACGGTCTCTTGAAGTCTCAGATTCTTTCCGACACTTATCTTTGTGAGCCTGTTGCTCTCCAGATTGAGCGATTGCAACAATGGCAACTCGTATATGGCCTCCACGACCCGCGAGAAGTTCGACAATTCGTTGTTGGTGAGACTCAGTTGAATTACATTTTTCAAGGGCTTGAACATTTCAAGTGTGGGCTCAAGCCTGTTGTTATCAATGATCAATTGTTGGAGATCTACTAACCCATTGAAGGCACCAGGTATTAGCCTACTGATGTTATTAAACGACAGGTTGAGATGTTGAAGTTGGCCAAGGCCGTTGAATGCTCCCGCCTCAATGACATAAATGTGGTTGATGTCCATCCTCAGGTGGATCAGGCTGCCCAGTTTTATGAAGCTGTTGTTCCTAATCATGGTCAAGGCATTGTTAGATAGGTTTAGTATCACGGGAGCTCCATGGAGGTCGGATATGGCTTCTTCCAGTTCATGGATATTTCTATGCACACAGTTGGCAGTCGTTATGGGCATCTGCTTACAGTTCCTTAATCCATAGCCGTGTCCCACAGGCAGCACAAGAAGCAAAAGGCTGATAGAAATGAGCACGCGTCTGCAGCTATCATTGGGCACTTGGTGGAGCGTTGCCCTTGCACACGATGCTGCCATGGTGCTCTACGCGTGGCCGGCAGTGAAGCCCTCCGTTGTTGATGGCGGCAGTGTGTAGCGCCAGGTGGAAGTTATGGGATGTGCTCTGGTTGTTTTCGTTATTTCTTTCTCGGTCAGAATTGCGAGGATGTGGGTTCCTTTCGGAGATAGTGTTCCCAGAAGCAGAGTCCTGTGTGCATGGTTTAAAAGAGGAAACAGGGACGTATGAGTGATTGCTCATTGTATGGCTTTTATTATTGTATGACAGTGTTATTTCGTGTTTATGAATGAGACACGATTGCAACATCAAATTATCTACAATTAAAACGTTACAATTTTCATGTAAGCGCTGCGATAGAGTTATTTACAAATTTTATTATGCCCGTCCAAATTAAAATTTTAAATATATATTTCTAGATTTGAAGCTTTCGTGACTGCAAGGATTCATATTCTTAGGTTTTTTTGGTAAAGTTACTTGATACAGCTATCGTGCTGTGACGGTTCCACCTGAAGACGGAAGCTTGTGTTGCCTCCGAAACGTCGTGATGTTTATTTTATTTTACTTTTATTAATTTTAATTTTTTACCTACGTGACTTTACCGAAAAAACCTAAGAATTTAAATATATCCTTTATCATCGTGAGCCATCGTGAGCTGGATGAAGGCCTTCACCATGCCTTCATCATCGCTCATGATGCAGCGATTCCACAATCCATCTCAATTCTGCACTTTATCCCATTGCCCCCCTGGATGCATTCTCCCCATTGGCCGCCTTTCGTGTCACCATTCTCACCGATCTGCTTAAGTTTTATATTCCACTGCGAAAATGTAGATCTGCTAATTCTGGTCGAATTATGATTCCAAAGACCAGACCTTGATTTATAGGAGACGGAGCTGTTTGCAGCCAGGCTCCGTGATTGTGAAA